AGTTGATGGTGGTGCGTGATTAGTTGATTGTGTACAGCGGGGTCGTGATTACTGCTGGTCGCAGCACCATCAACTAATCAGCAGCTCAGATTTAATTACAGAGTGCAGGAATGATGGTGCACAGTGTGGTCGGAATGAGGCGTGATGACCTGGAACCTGTTGAATGTTCGAACATTAGAACATAAAGAACTTATTTTAGTACATATAGAACTTATTATAGAACATATAGAACTTATTATTGAACATATAGAACTAATTTTAGAACATATAGAACCTCATTATAGAACGTATAGAACTCCTACAAACTTCGGGTTCACCGTTAATTCAGACTAGTTAGATCATAGTCTGAAAAGTCAACTGTGATTTATAAAGTCCGTGATTCAATTTCAGGGCCTTAACAGCCAACATCACAGGGGTGTAGGACTGCACCTTTGTTGAAGGCACCCCTTCCAGGGTTATTGAGCAATTTAATTTCCATGTAAGAAATTAGATCAAAGATCTGAAGCACATAATATTGATCTCGCACTTCCCCCTCCTCCCCAGCCCACCTTCCTTTCCCCCTCAATACCGCAGAGCAGGTATATCTACCTCACCTTGTCCCACTCCCTCCAATTTTGAGGGTGACCACGTGTATAACCTAAAATACCTCTGTAACCTAGGCAACCACGTGTATAACCTAGGATACTACTCTAGGTTACAGAGGTATCACGTGATACATCTGTAACCTAGTCCCGCCTAGTCATGTAACCTAGTCCCTAGCTCCAGTATACCGGCATTATATCAGAGTGTTAGGTGTTTCTAATTTTAATATCAGATCCTTACTCCGTATTATCAATTATTATCCAGTTACCGCCCTGCCGTCTGGCTGATTTTATTCGTCATATTAACTGTTTTGATAAAAGAGTCATATTAACTGTCGCGATTTTAACCAATACTTATAGTTATATTGCTAACACTCGTCCTCTACGGTCAGATGGGTGTTAAAGATCATAAGTATATGATTTAAATATGATTTAAATCTGTAGTTCATAATGATAATGATTACGAGAATGATTACATATAAATTAGCCATACTGTTTATAAGATTTAAATCCACTACATTTTATTTAGTATTACCTGATCCGTTAATTTGGATTCTTCCTAATCAAATTTTCACTAAAAAAGGATATCACCGATCGCCTTGCTGTCGTACAATATTCCGGTGATTCAAATTATCTGTTTTTGAGGTTAGAGTTTCTTGCTGCATCCGACCCCGCTGTGCATCCAGCATAACCGTATTCAAGTATTTATTTCCAAAAAGTGACGATAATAAAATCATCTTGCGCTTTGTTTAAACAACATTTTTAAGAATTTGAGTAGTTTCAACTCTTTGTTAATCCATTGTTTTACCCATGTAAATTTTACTAGCTTTGAGCTCCGTTAATCTTAATTTACAAACTTAATTCCCTATGAATAATATCCCTGTTTTTACGGTTTTTTAGCCTGATGATCATATATTTAAACAATATCGATACATGTTATTATGGATCGTTCACACTAAATATAAAATAAAATTAGTCTACACCAAGGGATCAATAATTTGTATTATAAATATCAATTTTCTCATTTCTCCTCTCCTGTTTATTTTGAATTGCATTTTAATATGTATATAAATATATAATATATAACACTGTATTCTTGTATTCTAAATTTCTAAAACTTCGTTAGTAAAATAGCATCCCAAATATTTACTCTGTCCTGCGTGAAAGACTAAATAGATAACCGTTACCATGGTAACATATAACAGTTCGTCAGGATTACCATGGTAACATATAACAGTTTGTCAGGATTACCATGGTAACATATAACAGTTTGTCAGGATTACCATGGTAACATATAACAGTTTGTCAGGATTACCATGGTAAAATATAACCGTCTCAACCTGATGTAAAGACTACTATAAACTAAACTTTTAGAAATATGTATAAGAATAAAGCTAGAATAAAACGTTATCATAAATGTTTTGATAAAGGAGTCATTTCATGAGAGCCTCTAATCAAATAATCTCCACCATCCTTCCTTGGAGGTTCAACAAACAAATCGTGGTCGGAAACCCCTTACATATCTAAACACCTTAGCACGTGATACCGTGTGGTCTACCTTATAAGCTTATAAACGAGGTCTTACTTTTATTCACATCAAGATTCCAGTCCACTCTTCAACACTGCATTACTATACGCTTATACGGACAGTATTACTATACGCTTATACGGACAGTATAGTATAGCCAGGCCACATCATCATCCACAACATCAGCTTTATCTGCATATTCTCACTATAATGGCATTTCATTGATAGATACTGGTATAACAGGGCGTTCTACGTATAATTATGGTAACAAGTAGTGTAACTATGGTAACTACTCTCACTAGATTCAGTCCACCTGCTAGCGAATAAAAGTGGAAAAACATCCTGACAAACTGTTATATGTTACCATGGTAATCCTGACAAACTGTTATATGTTACCATGGTAATCCTGACAAACTGTTATAATATGTTACCATGGTAATCCTGACAAACTGTTATAATATGTTACCATGGTAATCCTGACAAACTGTCTCCTTGAAAAGCTTAAAGCACATTTAGTGCCGATGAAAACCTTTGCGTCAAAGTTTCGTTATTCACTCGTACTACTACAGCTGTTGTTGCGAGTAACAACCTAGTGTAACTATGGTAACAACCTAGTGTAACTATGGTAACAACCTAGTGTAACTATGGTAACAACCTAGTGTAACTATGGTAACAACCTAGTGTAACTATGGTTACAACCTAGTGTAACTATGGTAACAACCTAGTGTAACTATGGTAACAACCTAGTGTAACTATGGTAACAACCTAGTGTAACTATGGTAACAACCTAGTGTAACTATGGTAACAACCTAGTGTAACTATGGTAACCTAGTGTAACTATGGTAACAACCTAGTGTAACTATGGTAACAACCTAGTGTAACTATGGTAACAACCTAGTGTAACTATGGTAACAACCTAGTGTAACTATGGTAACTAGTAGTGTAACTATGGTAACAACCTAGTGTAACTATGGTAACAACCTAGTGTAACTATGGTAACTAGTAGTGTAACTATGGTAACAACCTAGTGTAACTATGGTAACAACCTAGTGTAACTATGGTAACAACCTAGTGTAACTATGGTAACTAGTAGTGTAACTATGGTAACAACCTAGTGTAACTATGGTAACAACCTAGTGTAACTATGGTAACAACCTAGTGTAACTATGGTAACCTAGCCATTTTTAGGTTGTCATTAGAACAGCCCTCTAAAAACTGTAATCTAGTACTTCTCTTGATGGTGTCGAAAGCACTTGTCATATCTATTTTCCCATCTTGTGGAATTCAATATGCTTTCTCATAACAGCAGATATTAAAATCGTAATATTATGCAAATTAACAATAATCTTTATATACCATCAAGGTGGTAACGTTTGAGCTAAACTCTTACAATTGTTATATTATTTTGTTATCATGTAACTCAGACACGTTAAAGAGAAGGTTTCTATTTATCTCGTTCATCGTGTTGTTGGTCCTATGTGAGACAGTCGTTAAAAGTTAATTTCAAAATACTGTGGATTCATCGTTGCCGTTTGTAATTTGTATTACTCTTAGTGGTGCTCTTTCAGATATATTACCATAGTTACACTAGTAGTTACTTAGTTACCATAGTTACACTACTAGTTACTTAGTTACCATAGTTACACTACTAGTTACCATAGTTACATTACTAGTTACCATAGTTACACTACTAGTTACCATAGTTACACTACTAGTTATCATAGTTACACTACTACTGGTGTATCAAAGTTAGACAGCTTTTAGCAATAAGACTAGGGAGAGCAAGAATTCCTATTTTGTTGAAGATAGCTTTTTGTAACTATGGTAACTAGATAGCTTTTGAATTTGTTGTGAGACGGAAATTTACATTTTTCTTCGTCGTAGAAATAGTATTAGTAATGATAATGACATTTTATACCGCAAATTAATTTTATTTAAGCTGAAAATGAAGACTGAATGGAATTTAAAGATTTAGTACCCCAAACAGAAGCGCAATAATACAACTGCGATTGAATTATGCTATTACCGCGAAGCATTCATTGTATTTAATTTTATAAACTTCTTCGTTTTTTTCAAAAGCTAGAAATTTTGCATCCGTCCCGCCGTATAAAATATACGCTATTTTCTACTCAAAGGGCTTGAAGTCCTGGAGCCGAACTCATTAGCCCATTGGCATTAGGGCACTTAAGGATACGGCATTATATCCTGGGGCACTTCACATTGGCTGAAAGCACGGTTACAGTAAAATTTATTTACCGCGGTCATTTTCTTCCACTAAATTGTATTTAACATGTATAATCGTGAACGATCAAAACCCAATTTACTACGAATCCCGATTCACCGCGAACCTAAATTTACAGCGGCTTTTTATTTTTCCCAAACTCTGCAGTAAATAGGGGTTTTACTTTACTTAGGACTGGATACTAGGGGTTGAAGATTCTTTTATTTACTTTAACCTTTATTTTACTAGTTAATGTTGCACTGTGAGGCATCATGACAAGTGAAAATCAGTTGAACTTCGACCAGGATTTTAAAGGGAACATTTGTTAGCATCCTTATTATAGACTAGGTGTAACCACGCGTTACTTTGATCCGATCGTTTTAGTTAACCTCGCGGCGTCAAGAGTGACAGATTTGCATTCATTATATTACATGCAGTTCTAGTAACTTAGTAATGTAACTATGGTAACTAGTAGTGTAACTATGGTAACTAGGAGTGTAACTATGGTAACTAGTAGTGTAACTATGGTAACTAGTAGTGTAACTATGGTAACTAGTAGTGTAACTATGGTAACTAGGAGTGTAACTATGGTAACTAGGAGTGTAACTATGGTAACTAGTAGTGTACTTTTGAAGTAACACTTCTACTCACTGACTCGTTTTTAACTCAGGGTCATGTTATCCCTGCTCCTGGTAACGCTGTTTGCCCCGATTCCCTCTACCGGGGAAGAACCCCCTTCAACGGACTGGAAACTAATAGAACGACCTGTAGAGAAGTTCATGTTCCCTATCAAGGACTACATCCTAGAAGTGAAATCCCTCCGTCCAGACGTGTATAACACTAACCCGTCTTGGAACGAACTCCCCGCAGCTCGTACCTCTATGATTCTGGAACTCCATGACGGGAGTTGGCAGAGTAGGGTAGGTAGGATGGTGTGGAACACTATTAAGTACGATATGGGACGGGATGTGTACATCGAGCAGTGTGCTAATAACTACCAACCATACCGCTCCTTTCCTGCCGGCGGAAAGAAGGAGCAGATCTGGGCGTGGCACTTCAACCCTGAGGATATAGAGCTGACATGTGACGGAGAACTGCAGTACTCTAAGCTGTTCTCTGAAGGGGACGTTGACCCAAGGAGACCTGGGTTACCAGAGAAATGCCAGGAACTGGGAGCTGCTTCAGTTGACAGGATAATATTGAAGTTCATGGAGGGCTGCTATATTCGAGCAGTTCCTAAAGGGGGTGAGTTAAGAGCAGTTCCTAAAGTGGGTGAGTTAAGAGCAATTCCTAAACTGGGTGAGTTAAGGCTCCCTGCCCCCCTCACCCTCCCTACATGTGACTGCTGGCACCCCAGGTGCGGGTACTGCTCTAACCCGGAGTGTACGGTAGAACAGGACCTGTCCTCCTCTGATCACGGAGTCCAGGTGACCTCCAAAGTAAGGTGGAGGAAGGTAAACACACTCGTGTTATACGACGAAGCTGGCAGTGCTATCGGTAAGTTCCACTGGAGCAGGTCGCGTGTGATCCTGACTGGGGGGTGTATCCAGTGCTCTCCCCCCTCCTCGGTCAGGAGACTCAGGGGGCTCACTACTTGGAGCTTTACTCTGAAGGAGGGAGCAGTGAAGATCTGGGTGGAAGGAGCTGTGGTTTACGAAAGGAAGTTGCTTGCGGAGTGCGCGGAGAGGTACGGGGGAGTGAGGAGGTTCGCTTTCTATAATATGGGGTGTGAGAACTCCTTTAGGGTGACTCATGAGATGATTACTGGAGACATGTTTACTGAGAACTGTGAGGGGATGTGTAGTGATTAGTGGTTAGTGACTAGTGGTTAGTGACTAGTGGTTAGTGACCAGTGGTTAGTGACTAGTGGTTAGTGACTAGTGGTTAGTGACTAGTGGACTAGTGTTCAGCTGAATAATAATAATAGATAGAGCCAACACAGCATGATTAAGCGGAGGTAATTGCTGAGGAGATTGAGGCAACTTGGTAACTATGGTAACTAGTAGTGTAACTATGGTAACTTGAATTTTGATATCATCTCGAGAAAACAAAAGCTTTTCAGCAGTATCTGAGTATCCAGTATCTCGCACACATCATGATAGTGTTGAACTGTGGAACTGCAACTACCACAATACAATAATACCGAGTCACTTGTCACTTGAACTGTCAGTTAGTGACAGGTATGATATTTACTTACATCTTGATTATGTGCTTGTTTTTGTTCCACACAAGGCTGAATATGTTCATTCAACATTGTGTCAAATTCTTTAAAAATCATTGATATATATTTCAAACTAATATATTTCGATTTTGTAAATTCGTGATCTTTTTGTTGTACGAATTTAAATAACCCAAAATGAAAACTGACATCGAAAATTCGGAAACAAAATTTTGATCAAATATGAGTATGTCTGATTTAACAGTGTGTTTAACTAAAGTATATAAAATTTAATGTGCTCAAATTGTTAAACTGTACGTCTCCTCATTGTAGAATGTAGACAAACCTTATCGTTGAGTAGCTACAGTTTCTATAGCTACAGTTGCTATGGCTACAGTTACTTTGGCTACAGTTACTTTGGATACAGTTGCTAGATGAAGGTAGTCCTCCCTTTTGTCACTTCAAGTTTGCAGTTCCTACCTAATATGTGACCTATCTGTTCAGGATATAATTTACACCAATCTAAGTCTTGTGACATTTTACCAAGGATGTACAATTAACTACATACCATTTGTAGAATTAATCATTCCAGCCAAGAGCTGGGAAACCTCAGTCGTTTTGTAGCTCACCCAATACCCATGGTATACAATATGCGTATGCATAATTCCGTGTTCACCGAATGTTTTTGTAAGATCAAGTTTCTTTCTACTTCGGTAGTGAAACGGACAATAGTTTTTTGATGTGATCTCAACGTTTGAGACTTTATGTTAATACTTTTGGCCTATTTCAGAGCTTTAACCATATCTGAATCGAATCAGCGTTCTTCTGTTGCTAGGTTACACTTGTGTTGTCACCATGGTTACACTTCTTCTGTTGCTAGGTTACACTTGTGCACCTGCACCCAGCAGCAAACTAGTAGAGATGATGAGCAGAACTCACTCAATGCCTGTAGCAACCTCAGCAAGGGTTCTAAGGAAACTGAGAGGGTCAGAGGGGGAGATGTCGGTCATGGAGCGGAACAATAATATGTGGCTAGCTGATAACAGACGGAACACCTTCTTTTTAGGTGAACACTGTCTTGTAGGTGCCTGTAGTGCAAGTTGTACTCTTGTTGTAACTCGTTGTTAGCGACTAGTGGTTAGTGACTAGTGGTTAGTGACTAGTGGTTAGTGACTAGTGGTTAGTGACTAGTGGTTAGTGACTAGTGGTTAGTGACTAGTGGTTAGTGACTAGTTATACTCTTGTTTTCGAGTATTTTTATAATAACTAATGACATAGTGTAGTATTTAGTGTAGTAAGTGTTAGTGTAGTACTCAAAATAATTAATTAAATCGTCAGTGTGAAAAGTAGAACACTCAGTCTGAAATAGTAAAAGTAAAACTTTTACCTCTATCTGAAATACTGAAATAATGAGCTATTTCTTTTGCAAAGCTATATTATTGCTAACTTCTAACGCTGTATTGTATTTGTTGCTGTTATTGAGTATTGCCCAAATCTTATTGCTTTTGAAGGTTCATTGATCATATATCGTATATCTAGTACATTATCGAGTAGCAGTAGCAATATAGAACCCCCTCCCCCTCCCCCGGCCCCCCTCTCCCGGCCCCCCTATAACTTTATTAGTGTAGTGTAACTATGGTAACTAGACCCCCCCCCCCCCCCCCGAGTCTAGTTACCATAGTTACACTACTATTTCAGAGTTATCTGGAGTAAATTTTAACGACATCACTGAAGAGACTTTGAAAAAAGGAAAAGTGTGGCTTAAATTCTATCAGAAAAAAGAAAAGAAAACTGCTGAGGTTCTTAAGAAATTTGCTAAGGTTAGTGTACAATCAACGTATGTTCTAGGTCCTATCCTAAAAATGCGTTAAACATGCGTTATTTTCAAAAACACTTTATATTTGCAAAAATACATCTTCTAAAAAATAACTCTGGGATAAATTTTAAAACTGCATTGACAGAAAATCACTAACCACTAGTCACTAACCATTAGTCACTAACCACTAGTTACGTTTAGGAAAAGCACTTGCTCTCAAAACGCCAACAAGTGCAGATGGAGCGACTTTTGAAGGACAATAATATTGAGAAGACAAACGAGTTAAAGAAATTAACTCAGAACCATACTAACAACCCGTGGTAAGCCTGTAACGAAGCTGACCCCGCTGTGCAGGGAGGAGGGGGCATCATAGGGGGAGGGGGGAGGCGCCATCATAGGGGGAGGGGGGAGGCGCCATCATACGGGGAGGGGGCCATCATAGGGGGCGAGGGGAGGCGCCATCATAGGGGGAGGGGGGGCCATCATAGGAGGCGGGGGCGCCATCATAGGGGGAGGGGGGCGCCATCATAGGGGGAGGGGGGCGCCATCATAGGGGGAGGGGGGGCCATCATAGGGGGGGCCTTTAATGGGGGGAGGGGGGAGGCGCCATCATAGGGGTAGGGGGGGCATCATAGGGGGCGGGGGGAGGCGCCATCATAGGGGGAGGGGGGGCCATCATAGGGGGCGGGGGCACCATCATAGGGGGAGGGGGGCGCCATCATAGGGGGAGGAGGGGGGCCATCATAGGGGGGGGGCATCATAGGGGGCGGGGGGAGGCGCCATCATAGGGGGAGGGGGGCGCTATCATGGGGGGGCGCCATCATAGGGGGAGGGGGGCGGGGCGCCATCATAGGGGGGGGCGCCATCATAGGGGGAGGGGGCATCATAGGGGGGCGCAAAATCGTCGTTTGAATGTGGGACAATTTTGAAAAACTTAACTGAGGTACTAGCAAAGTAGGTGCGCGTTCTGCTCTAGAAACACACTTTTTTAGAGATTTTACCGGCGTATCCTCTAAAATCACCTAATTTGTTCAATTTAAGGGAGGGGCGCAAACAAGTGGTGATCACATAATGGTCACTAACTAATTTTAAGTGCTCATTTGTTCAGCAATCAGGCCTCTGAAATACTTGCCATTCCATTGTTCGAAGTCGCGTGCTTTTTATAAAAAAGACAAACTTAATTTTATAAAGAAGACAAACTCATTTAAAAAAAACTTATTTTCGAGTTTTTATAAACTCCGGCTTCTCCCAGAATTATGGAAATCATAAAGTTTTTGCAGTTCTTAACTGCTAAAGAAGTATTGATATTGTTTCAGTTTTTCATCACTACTTCACTATTATTGTCATAATTTAGGGAGACAGAGGAAGAGTTTCAGCAGTTGATAAGTGTATTCGATGAAAAGCAGGCTAAATCAGTAAGTTACACTACTAGTTACCATAGTTACACTATGATTATGCAGGCTAAATCAGTGAGTCAATTTGTTATTACCTTTGCTAAAAACTAGCTGTTAACTGTTCTGTTACCATAGTTAGTAGTTACTGTTCTGATTCGCAAAGTATGGCTCAGTTTAGTAACCCAATTGTAAATCAAGTTATAAACCATATTACCTACAGGGGGGGGGGGGGGGGGGGGGGGGGCTGTATATTCTTCACCTAATTGGAACCATCTCCTCAGGTTGAAGTGTTAACTATGCATCACAAATGTGAAACCTTGACGGTCGAGAAAATCCACAAATGCGAAAAATTTGAACACGACCGCCAAGAGAGGAAGGAAAACCATGAATACGTAAGTTTAGGAAGTATGTTCCAATTTCCATACGTAACAGTAACATTCACACGTAGTAACCATAGCAGCCACAGTAACTATAGCAACCAGCTATAGTAGCAGTAACATGCATCAAGCAATGAGTAAGTAACTAATTTAGTTATTCATACACGTCTCATCATGAACCTAGAGAATCAAATCAATCCTTACCCGCTAGTGTTGGTAAGACTGTAAGATCAACCCTTACCCGCTAGTGTTGGTAAGACTGTAAGATCAACCCTTACCCGCTAGTGTTGGTAAGACTGTAAGATCAACCCTTACCCGCTAGTATTGGTAAGACTGTAAGATCGACCCTTACCCGCTAGTGTTGGTAAGACTGTGAGGTCAACCCTTGGCCGCTAGTGTTGGTAAGACTGTAAGATCAACCCTTACCCGCTAGTGTTGGTAAGACTGTAAGATCAACCCTTACCCGCTAGTGTTGGTAAGACTGTGAGATCAACCCTTACCCGCTAGTGTTGGTAAGACTGTGAGATCAACCCTTACCCGCTAGTGTTGGTAAGACTGTAAGATCAACCCTTATCCGTTAGTGTTGGTAAGACTGTGAGATCAACCCTTACCCGCTAGTGTTGGTAAGACTGTAAGATCAACCCTTACCCGCTAGTGTTGGTAAGACTGTAAGATCAACCCTTACCCGCTAGTGTTGGTAAGACTGTAAGATCAACCCTTACCCGCTAGTGTTGGTAAGACTGTAAGATCAACCCTTACCCGCTAGTGTTGGTAAGACTGTAAGATCAACCCTTACCCGCTAGTGTTGGTAAGACTGTAAGATCAACCCTTACCCGCTAGTGTTGGTAAGACTGTAAGATCAACCCTTACCCGCTAGTGTTGGTAAGACTGTAAGATCAACCCTTACCCGCTAGTGTTGGTAAGACTGTAAGATCAACCCTTACCCGCTAGTGTTGGTAAGACTGTAAGATCAACCCTTACCCGCTAGTGTTGGTAAGACTGTAAGATCAACCCTTACCCGCTAGTGTTGGTAAGACTGTAAGATCAACCCTTACCCGCTAGTGTTGGTAAGACTGTAAGATCAACCCTTACCCGCTAGTGTTGGTAAGACTGTAAGATCAACCCTTACCCGCTAGTGTTGGTAAGACTGTAAGATCAACCCTTACCCGCTAGTGTTGGTAAGACTGTAAGATCAACCCTTACCCGCTAGTGTTGGTAAGACTGTAAGATCAACCCTTACCCGCTAGTGTTGGTAAGACTGTGAAGTGTGAGATCAACCCTTACCCGCTAGTGTTGGTAAGACTGTAAGATCAACCCTTACCCGCTAGTGTTGGCAAGACTGTAAGATCAACCCTTACCCGCTAGTGTTGGTAAGACTGTAAGATCAACCCTTACCCGCTAGTGTTGGTAAGACTGTGAGATCAACCCTTACCCGCTAGTTTTGTTAAGACTGTAAGATCAACCCTTACCCGCTAGTGTTGGTAAGACTGTAAGATCAACCCTTACCCGCTAGTGTTGGTAAGACTGTAAGATCAACCCTTACCCGCTAGTGTTGGTAAGACTGTAAGATCAACCCTTTGTTTTGCTAATTATATATTCGGTTTATGACTGACCCGCTAACTCAGTTTAAGAAAGTGAAGAAGGATGCGCACGAAATACAGATTCGTGAATATGAGCAATACCAGAGCAACGAAGTTATTGAGCTGACCAAAATGGTACAAGCTAAACAAGTTGAGAGGATCCTCAAATTCACAGCTGAGATGAAAGATGGAGAGGGGCTCACTGAACTGCAAGAGAAACTGGACAAGGAAGCTTTAACAAAAAGGAAACAGGTGAATGGAATTTTACTTATTTTTTAGAATTAGCAAGTGTCGAAGGTTAGTAGTAGTAGTAAATACTATAGTACTTATATTTGTAGTAACCATGGTAACACATACCTAGTAACCATGGTAACACACATACCTAGTAACCATGGTAACACACATACCTAGTAACAGTTCTACTTAGGTTTTAGTTAAGGTCATTTCCCAGAATAGAAAGATTGTGAGCTAGGTTAACACTCAACTACTCCCTGCTACTAGAGTATAAGCTAGGTTAACGTTAAAAACATCATCTTCCCCAGTTAGCAAACACACAAGAGATAAGAAGAGAACAGCTGGTTGCAGAGCACAAAGAACAAATGAAGATCGTCGATCAGATGTATCTCAAGGTACCCCCATAGTAACCATGGTAACATAGCCCATACGATTATACGATTATACTTATAGGATTATGAACCCCAAATATTGCATCCCTTATTATCTAGTATAGGCCCTTATTATCTAGTAGTACTAGTAGTATAGGCCCTTATTATTTAGTATAGGCCTCAACATAAATTCCAGCGTCTAATCATGTTTATCAACACCTGCAGCGAATAAAAGAGTTTGAGTTGAACGCTCAGAGTGAGATAGAGATGTTAGAAAGACAGATCGGTGAACTGGAGCAGCAGGCTCTGTACAATTCAGCAGATGTTAAATCCGAGTGAACAATGTTAGAAAAACAATCAGTACCTGATCTTTATAACCAATCAGACTATAAGCGAGAGTAAAGAAAGTCACAGTTATAATAGTAGTAACCATGGTAACTAGTAGTGTAACCATGGTAACACACATATCTTTCACTGAAATAACCCTGGGATTATAATATCTTTACATGTATTGTTTATTGTAGAACTGGTTACTAGGTTACTAGAACTGGTTACTAGGTATGTGCAACCATGGTAACTACTAGTAACCATGGTTACTACACTGAAATAACCCTGGGATTATCATATCTTTATATGTATTGTTTATTGTTTGATTTTATCGATTGTGTATGATTGCTGGTTTATCTTATTACATTTATCACAAATTGATTTATGAAAATTTCTCTCTGTTATTGCTTACGCTGAATTTAGTTTAACAAAATAAATATTACCCAAACGTATCATCTTTAAAAAGCTCACATCATGTTTTCTGATAGCTTAGAATTGAAAATGGTCCTGTGAAATCTATGCCTATAAATAACCTGCCATTTAAATGTACCAGCGAGAAAAGGCAAAACCAGAAGTCTGACAACAGTTATCTCACAGCACTATAGAGCTATAGGTATGTGTTACCATGGTTACTACTAGCACTATAGGTATGTGTTACCATGGTTACTACTAGCACTATAGGTATGTGTTACCATGGGTACTACTAGCACTATAGGTATAATCGTGTAATTCTTCTTAAGTTACGATCTGTAAAAGTGTAATCGGTAGGATCATTGGACTGTTACTCACGACTCGATTTGTGACGACTACATGTTACATGTTATGTCTTCTTTTGATTGGTCGGCGTCGACTGTAAGCCTTCCTTGCGGTGGCTTTCACAACGCGTCCCCATTCTCCAACTCCTGCTGCTAGAGAGAGAGAGACTCCCAAGTTATATACCATAATTATATTATACATAGATATCGACAACAGACTCCGAGAGTCTTGAATTTCTGTTACCACCGCCCCTGGTGCAACCCCTTACGGGTTAACGATGAGGAGACAGGGACTTCCAGGGACGGTCATGGCCTGCTACGTGCAACTCGTAGGAGTATGCAATGTTCCTGTAACGTCACTGTAGACCACTCCTCTGTCGTTGTTTTGAGTGTCCGATCCAAAAACCAAATCCTAGGGTACACGAGACGTGGAAGCCTGTGGGCGTGTTAGAGTCTGTTAAGTGTTAGAGTCCTAGGGTTACACGAGACTTCGTAGCCTGTGAGCGTGTTAAATCTTAGGGTTACACGAGACATGGTAGCCTGTGAGCGTGTAGTCCGCTCCTCTATCGTTGTTTTGAGTGTCCGATCCAAAACCAAATCCTAGGGTACACGAGACGTGGAAGCCTGTGAGCGTGTTAGAGTCTGTTAAGTGTTAGAGTCCTAGGGTTACACGAGACGTGGTAGTCTGTGAGCGTGTTAAATCCTAAGGTTACACGAGACTTGGTAGCCTGTGAGCGTGTTAAATCCTGGGGTTACACGAGACGTGGTAGTCTGTGAGCGTGTAGACCGCTCCTCTATCGTTGTTTTGAGTGTCCGATCCAAAACCAAATCCTAGGATACACGAGGCGTGGTAGCCTGTGAACGTGTAAAATCCTGGGGTTACACGAGACATGGTAGCCTGTAAGCGTGTAGACCGCTCCTCTATCGTTGTTTTGAGTTTCCGATCCAAAACCAAATCCTAGGGTACACGAGACGTCATGGAAGCCTGTGAGCGTGTTAGAGTCTGTTAAGTGTTAGAATCCTGCGGTTACACGAGACGTGGTAGTCTGTGAGCGTGTAGACCACTCCTCTATCGTTGTTTTGGGTGTCCGACCAAAAACAAAATCCTAGGGTACACGAGGCGTGGTAGCCTGAGAACGTGTAAAAGCCTGAGAACGTGTAGAGTCTGTTAAGTGTTACTGTTAGAGTCCTAGGGTTACACGAAACGTGGTAGTCTGTGAGCGTGCTAAATCCTGGGGTTACACGACACATGGTAGCCTGTGAACGTGTCAAATCATGGGGTTACACGAGACATGGTAGCCTGTGAGCGTGTAGACCGCTCCTCTATCGTTGTTTTCAGTGTCCGATTCAAAACCAAATCCTGGGGTTATACGTCACTTGGGAGCCTGTGAGCGTGTTAGTTTCCTGCGGAAGGTGTTATTTGCCTGTGGGAAAAGCGGTTATGCTGCGGTTCTAATGTTAGTAGAGGCTATTAGAGCCTGTCCTTGTTGTAGAGATGGCTAGTCCCTTCCTTTGCATAGGTTAGAAACACCCATGCACCTCCCGTTCGAGCCACCCACCCCACACCGCGTGGAGGTTCGGTGAGGTTTTTTGTGGGTCTCACATGTTACATATACTGCATTGTACAGTAAAACCCCGATTTACCGCGGAGTTTGGGGAAAGGAAACATTCGCGTTTAATCGGGATCTGTGGTTAATCGGGGTTTTGTTTGGTTTACATTATGTATGTTTCAGTTTAGCCCTATTTGGGGAAAGGAAATGGCCGCGGTATATCGGGGTTTGCGGTAAATCGGGGCGCGGTATATCGGGGTTTTACTGTATCTCCATCCAAAAGGATTAGTCTGCGTCAACTGTGTCATCACTTTGTAATACACAACTTCCTAGGCCTGCCTCTTGATCTCTTTCCATGCTTGGGTTTCCATTCAAGTAGATGAATGGAAACCCGAATGTGACGACTCCGATCTCCGATTTCTTTACCTTCATAATCATATTATCACAATATGTACTCTAGTACTATGCCCTGCTACTAGAGTAATGTCAGGATGACCTGGATCTAGGGATATGATGATATATCGACACAACAATTTTAATTTTATCATTTCAATGTTTTCTCCGCATTTAGAAACCTCCTTCCGTAACTCTGTACGTGAGAAGAGATAGGCACTGAGCCATGAGATTATCTGGCAACGAGCCGTGAGATTATCAGCTGTTTCCCATACTGATAAACCTTGTTGCTTTTTCTTTAAAAATGAGATTACAACAAGCGGAAATTTTGGAATTCTGATGCACTGCCGAATACGATAAAGGGGCAAGATACCTTTTTTCCACTTGGTTAAAATGCAATTTTTGGCTAAATAATTCTTTGGAAATATTCAGTTCTAATTCCGATTAGATATTGGAGGGGAATTAAGGTTTCAGTTATTCGAAAGAACGGCATTGCTTCCCCACTGTGCTTTCCTCCCTATTACACAAGGTTGAAGATAAGATTTAATATCTATCACGCGATTATTTGTCTAATATTCAAATATAACGACCGCAAATTATAAAATAACAATATAAACTCTTCATTATTAAACTTTTTCCTCTCAATCAAGCATAGCTATGACAATTAACTTAACCGGAGCTGTGATTAAGATTAAAAGATTAATATTTAAACCGATTCTCAGGAGCAAAGCAAGCATGTTTAGATGACCACGTGACTATTAGCATGTGATAATGGTCACGTGACCTAACAGTGATAATGGTCACGTGACCTAACAGTTCACGTTAAACTATAGACAAGCAGCAGCATGCAATGGAGCATATCTGCAACTAACAATTACTCTAATCCATGGTAACGGCTATCTGGACTATATATAAGACATGGAATAATATGCTAGGCATTACTTTTCTTCAACTTTTCATCAACTTAAGTTTGATTGTTCCAGTTAATTCTTCACCATGAGAGAAATTGTTCACTTGCAGGCCGGCCAATGCGGCAACCAGATCGGATCCAAATTCTGGGAGGTTTGCAATCTTCGTTTATCTTTTATTATCTTTTTGGTAGTGTCAATCTTAATCTTAGTCTAAGTTTGCCCACTATTTCCAAGTAATTACAATTTACATTTATTTGAATCATAGATAGTTTTGATTTTTACTTTTCTTCAGTAAGTTTAACCGTACTTTGAAAGAAACAAAAGGCAGAAATAAGATTAAGATTGAGAATGACTACAGCTTCTTTCAAAACATCTGCATAGAAAACGTTCAAGTTTGATATATGACGTTGACTCTGACCAATACTATTTGTGACACAATATTCCATCTCAGGTCATCTCTGACGAGCATGGCGTTGACCCCACTGGAACCTACCACGGAGACTCCGACCTGCAGTTGGAGAGGATCAATGTCTACTACAACGAGGCTACCGGTGGAAAGTACGTCCCCCGTGCCGTCCTTGTGGACTTGGAACCCGGAACCATGGACTCCGTCCGATCCGGACCTTTCGGCCAGATCTTCAGACCTGACAACTTCGTGTTCGGGCAGTCTGGAGCTGGAAACAACTGGGCCAAGGGACATTACACCGAGGGAGCCGAACTCGTCGACTCTGTTCTGGATGTAGTCAGGAAGGAAGCTGAGGGCTGTGATTGCCTTCAGGGATTCCAACTGGCTCACTCTCTCGGAGGTGGAACCGGATCCGGCATGGGAACACTCCTGATCTCCAAGATCCGTGAGGAATACCCCGACAGGATCATGACCACTTTCTCCGTCGTACCTTCCCCCAAGGTTTCCGACACAGTTGTCGAGCCTTACAACGCCACCCTCTCCGTCCATCAGCTGGTTGAGAACACCGATGAGACCTTCGCCATCGACAACGAGGCTCTCTACGATATCTGCTTCAGGACCTTGAAACTCACCACCCCCACCTACGGAGATCTTAACCATCTCGTCTCCGCCACCATGTCTGGTGTCACCACCTGCCTGAGGTTCCCTGGACAGCTCAACGCTGATCTCAGGAAACTCGCAGTCAACATGGTTCCCTTCCCCCGTCTCCACTTCTTCATCCCCGGATTCGCTCCTCTGACCAGCCGAGGATCCCAGCAGTACAGAGCTCTGACCGTCCCTGAGCTCTCCGCCCAGATGTTCGATGCCAAGAACATGATGGCCGCTTGCGACCCCAGACACGGCCGATACCTCACAGTTGCCGCCATGTTCCGAGGACGTATGTCCATGAAGGAAGTCGATGAGCAGATGCTGAACGTACAAAACAAGAACAGCAGCTACTTCGTCGAATGGATCCCCAACAACGTCAAGACCGCCGTCTGTGATATTCCTCCCAGAGGACTCAAGATGTCTGCTACCTTCATCGGAAACAGCACCGCCATCCAGGAGCTCTTCAAGAGGATTAGCGAGCAGTTCACTGCTATGTTCAGGCGTAAGGCTTTCCTCCATTGGTACACTGGTGAAGGTATGGACGAGATGGAATTCACCGAAGCTGAGAGCAACATGAACGATCTCGTATCTGAGTACCAACAGGTAATTTGATCCTTAATTTTCTTAATTAGATATAATCTTTTTCAGCATTTCTTCAATACGATATTATCTTTGTACACATTTTCTTCAATACGAAATTATCTTTGAACGCCATATCTTCAATTATCATCTGTTTTTTCGATATGCATTAGCTTCTGTAATAATCTAGCAATTAGACTAACACGGTCCATATTTCAGTACCAGGACGCCACCGCCGAAGAGGAGGGAGAATTCGACGAGGAGGAGGAAGAGGAAGAGGGATAGATTAATGACGTCATGGGTTAATTTGTGACGTCACCACGCTACCTACCTTCAATATTCAATTATGGGTTATGATAGAAGATAACGTGGACTGATGTTTAATTTGTAACTTTGTAACGCGATTTTAAGTGGGCTCCTAAAAACAGCACATGGGGAAAATTTCTGGGTCTTTTTTCTGGGAATCAAGATGCTTCATTATAATTTCATATTCATTCGTAACTTTATTAAAATTCTTGCAATTTCATCAAACTCTTTTATTTCTTTGTTATTTCTATAATTTTGGCAATTGTCCACTAGATTAGGAAACGATCGAAGACAAATTAAATTTATCAATAAATACCACAGCTCAGTAATCTTGATAAAAACAAATTGTATCGCGGAATCATCTCCAGTAGCGAGGTTTCCCGACCATCTGCAAATTTAATTAAGGGTATCAGCTGAGGTTGAAGCCAAACTCTGTGCACACAATTAAACGTACTAGTATCAGTAGGTGGTAATCTCTCCCTCTGTCTGTTCTAGCACTGTTATCAGTCCCCAATCTCTAATCAGCTCCAGTAACGGCCGGCAGTTCTTCTTCTGCTCCTTATCACATCCACTAAACACTCTCTGTTCAGTTTCATTGTGAACATGCCACCCTAGCCTGCCCTAGCCTGTCTCGCGGAGTTAAACGCTTTATAACATCAGTTGAGAAATGTTGTGTTGTCTTATGGGTTTTAGTTTTAGGACTGTGTTCACGGTTGTATTTGTGTTTTATTCTCATTACTTGATTATGCTTAATAAGCTTATGGAGTATAACTAATACGACATCTAGGATCTAAATAGTTAGATCGCACTAGGTACAATTACATAGTGCTCATCTTTTTTAACAATTTCATTTTTGGGGGAGCAGTGTTCAAACTAGCACTAAAGCTAATGAAGAGGACGCATATATTTTACTAACGTGCGCGTGAGCTTGTTCGAGGGGCGTCACCAGAACTACCTGATATCACTGACTCACTGAGCTATCAAACTCTTCTTCTGATTCCTTGGGAGATGTTCAATCTTTTTCTTGGTAGTCAGTAAAATAAACGGAATTTGTGAAGGAGCTGGCATTAAAAATTGTAGGGTTAACGTAACATGACAGATGGAAACTGGGGAGAGAGTCAAAACATTATTCGGTAGAGCCTAGATTTTCTATTGCACAAAAATGCAGAATATTCTGGTTACATATAATATGTGGGTTATTTAGAATGTCTAAATATATAACTGCTCCTCAATGGCTTCAATATGATAAAAACAACTTTACGATACATCGATTGATAATGAGCTTAAAAACATTTTGCAGTTGGTCAGCAATTAAATTTGTTTAATATTTCTTTATTTCAAATGTAGGGATTGAGATTCTAGTAACCTAGTAAGCAGTTCTAGTAACCTAGTAACCAGTTCTAGTAACCTAGTAACCAGTTCTAGTAACCTAGTAACCAGTTCTAGTAACCTAGTAACCAGTTCTAGTAACATAGTAACTAGGGATTGAGATTACAGCTGTTTCAAAACGGGTCATCAGTTCATGGGATGTCTAAATCTTAAATGTCTAAATATCTTCAATTTATAAGAACGCCAGAATAGCTTGCATTAAAAAGTTTATTTAGTCGTCGTCATTGAAATATGAGGAGAGTAAAGTACACAGTATGTAAGTATGTACTAGAGTAGCAGAATGTAGTACTATACTCTGCTACTCTAGTAATGTATTCATTGTTATTCTTATAACTTTATTAAACTAGATTTCCGTACTTTAACGACCAGAAAGTTACTGTGAATGTATTATTTAACCATGATTAATACCACTACACAGTAGTGAGTTTACCACTACCTGTTACCACGGTAATCAATGCTGCTGTGTTTTTGTATGGATGACATGACTGTGTTAATAATCGCGGCATCACTTGTAGTATTGTAGATATTCTGTATGATTTGGGTTGCACAGCCACAGTCGTTCCATTAATTAATAATTAATTAATAATTAGCCACCCGTCAAACTTCTAATTATTATGCACCAACTACAGCAGCTATAGTACAGTAAGTAGTAGTACCAACTACAGTCCTTACTTACTCACACTAGCAACTACTACTAGTTACCATGGTTACTAGCTACTACTACTAGTTACCATGGTTACTAGCTAATACTACTAGTTACCATGGTTACTAGCTACTACTACTAGTTACTAAGGCTGTGACAATTCTCCTTCTACAGTTACAGCTGTATTATTTTGATCTTTGTATCCTTTTCGTCTACAAATTGACAAAAACCCAAATTTCGAATGATTAAATCGTATATTGCTACGTTTTCTATGTTTCAATTGCTTTTCATTTTATTTTATTTGTACTAGCACCTACATACGGGTTTGTTTATTGAACCCCTTGTCAGTAGTATTATGGCAGATTCTCGTTCATGTTTTGCTCGTTTTTACAACTGGTGGGTACTGGCCTGTGTGTGTCTCGGCTCTATGGCTATGGGTCTTCCTTTCTTCAGGTACAGATTTATTTGCTCTAAATACTTGTTTCAAATCCTCATGTAAAGTTAACTAACAAAGTAGTTTAAATTATTTTTATTGGTGTTTTACTTGATACTTATTGTTTTGAACTGTGGTAGGTTATACTTCAAGTAATAGTTTCACAAAACTTCAATTAATTTAGCAACTCCACATTTCAGTTACGGAGCTCTCCTACCATATTTATCTTCTCTGTTTTACGCCACCACGGGTAAAGTCACCAGCCAGGCTGCCATGGCTCTTCAACCAGTTATTCTCCTCATGGGAATCACGCTGACAGGTAACTAGGTAACCAGGTAACCAGCCAGGCTGCCATGGCTCTTCAACCCGTTATTCTCCTCATGGGAATCACGCTGACAGGTAACTAGGTAACCAGGTAACCAGCCAGGCTGCCATGGCTCTTCAACCCGTTATTCTCCTCATGGGAATCACGCTGACAGGTAACTAGGTAACCAGGTAACCAGCCAGGCTGCCATGGCTCTTCAACCAGTTATTCTCCTCATGGGAATCACGCTGACAGGTGGGCATTATCTATCATTGTAATGGAGTTTTGTAAGCAACCACCGTTACTCATTTGGAATTATCAAAAAGAATTGATGTTCAACTAGAAGGACATCTAGTATAACTCTAGTAGAATTGGTTACTTGGTTACTAGAACTGGTAATTAGGTTACTAGAACTGGTTACTAGGTTACTAGAACTCACCACCAATCTGATGTCTGTGCTGCCCATTTTATCCAGTATGGAAACTTTGTAGATTTTCGTGTTATTTCTACGAATCCAAACACAAGGAAATATTTTACAGGTTCTTTGTCCGGTATCCTGGAGTACTACATGAACGTGCGTCTTCTCAACTTCCTGCTGTCAGCTGGTTTTGTGCTTATAGTCGGCTGCTCTTACTTTGTGAGCAACTTTACTGTACTCACGATAGTGGCAGTTCTCACAGGAATATTAGGAGGACAGATCAATGTTTGCAACGTAAGTAACCAGGTAACCAGGTAACCAGGTAACCAGGTAACCAGGTAACCATGTAACTAGGTAATCAGGTAACCAGGTAACCAGCCAGACTGCCATGGCTCTTCAACCAGTTATTCTCCTCATGGAAATCACGCCCACAGTTAACTAGGTAACTAGGTAACCAGGTAACCAGGTAACCAGGTAACCAGGTAAACAGGTAACCAGGTAACCAGGTAACCAGGTAAACAGGTAACCAGGTAACCAGGTAACCAGGTAACCAGGTAACCAGGTAACCAGGTAACCAGGTAACCAGGTAACCAGGTAACCAGGTAACCAGGTAACCAGGTAACCAGGTAACCAGGTAACCAGGTAACCAGGTAACCAGGTAACCAGGTAACCAGGTAACCAGGTAACCAGGTAACCAGGTAACCAGGTAACCAGGAAACCAGGTAACCAGGTAACCAGGTAACCAGGTAACCAGGTAACCAGGTAACCAGGTAACCAGGTAACCAGGTAACCAGGTAACCAGGTAACTAGGTAACTTTACTGTACTCACGATAGTGGCAGTTCTTACTGGAATATTAGGAGGACAGATCAATGTTTGCAACGTAAGTGCCCAATGAAAATCTATTAATTCCATTACTCAATTAAACAACTAAAGTTATTTAATTGATCAGTTATGATTCTGAAGAACGCAACTAAACATTGTTCCACAATAACCGGCTGGGTGGTGTTACCCTCGTATTTTGTATCTTGTTCTTCCCCCTAGGTTGCAAGGCTATCAGAATGGAATCCGAGGAAGAGTGGAGCTGCAAATGGTATTATGGGTTTCTTCATGGGAATGTCGGGGCTCCTTGGTTCTGTTATGTGTTCTGCTGTGATAAACCCCTTTAACAAAGAGTAAGTGTTTGTGCTCGGACATTATTAAGTTTTAGTTGCCTCGAGCTATAGTAACCAGTACTGGTTACTAGGTTACTATCATCTGTTCCAGTATTTTCAATTTATTGTAACATTACAATAGGCCTGAACCAGTGAACACTACCTCGGGAGTGGACATGCTCTTTCTAGATGACGAAGTTGTGGGTAACGTCAAGTACATATGGCTGGCCTGGGCTGGTACTATCTTGTGCTTGTTTCTTCCCGGTAAGTTTACAGAGGGAAAGTAACTTTAGTAACTAGAACTGGTTACTTAAGTAATTAGAACTGGTTACTATAGTAACTAGAACTGGTTACTATAGTAACTAGAACTGGTTACTATAGTAACTAGAACTGGTTACTATAGTAACTAGAACTGGTTACTATAGTTACTAGAACTGGTTACTATAGTAACTAGAACTGGTTACTATAATAACTAGAACTGGTAACTATAATAACTAGAACTGGTTCTAGGTATTAGGTTACTAGAACTGGTTACTATAGTAACTACAACTAGTAACTAGGTTTAAGGTTACTGTAACTGGTAACTGCAGTAACTAAAACTGGTTACTCGGTTACTAGAACTGGTTAATAAAGTAATTAGAACTGGTTACTAGTTACTAGAACTGGTTACTAGGTTACTAGAACTGGTTACTAGGTTACTATAACTGGTTACTATAGTAACTCTCCTCTTTTCAGGAGTGTTTATTAGAACTGGTTACTAGGTTACTAGAACTGGTTACTATAGTAACTCTCCTCTGTTCAGGAGTGTTTATTAGAACTGGTTACTAGGTTACTATAACTGGTTACTATAGTAACTCTCCTCTTTTCAGGAGTGTTTATTAGAACTGGTTACTAGGTTACTAGAACTGGTTACTATAGTAACTCTCCTCTGTTCAGGAGTGTTTATTAGAACTGGTTACTAGGTTACTAGAACTGGTTACTATAGTAACTCTCCTCTGTTCAGGAGTGTTTATTAGAACTGGTTACTAGGTTACTATAACTGGTTACTATAGTAACTCTCCTCTTTTCAGGAGTGTTTATTAGAACTGGTTACTAGGTTACTAGAACTGGTTACTATAGTAACTCTCCTCTGTTCAGGAGTGTTTATTAGAACTGGTTACTAGGTTACTAGAACTGGTTACTATAGTAACTCTCCTCTGTTCAGGAGTGTTTATTAGAACTGGTTACTAGGCTACTAGAACTGGTTACTGTAGTAACTCTCCTCTTTTCAGGATTGTTTATTAGAACTGGTTACTAGGTTACTAGAACTGGTTACTATAGTAACTCTCCTCTGTTCAGGAGTGTTTATTAGAACTGGTTACTAGGCTACTAGAACTGGTTACTGTAGTAACACTCCTCTGTTCAGGAGTGTTTATTCTGCTAGAACTGGTTACTAGGTTACTAGAACTGGTTACTAGGTTACTATAACTGGTTACTATAGTAACTCTCCTCTTTTCAGGAGTGTTTATTAGAACTGGTTACTAGGTTACTAGAACTGGTTACTATAGTAACTCTCCTCTGTTCAGGAGTGTTTATTAGAACTGGTTACTAGGTTACTATAACTGGGTACTATAGTAACTCTCCTCTTTTCAGGATTGTTTATTAGAACTGGTTACTAGGTTACTAGAACTGATTACTATAGTAACTCTCCTCTGTTCAGGAGTGTTTATTAGAACTGGTTACTAGGTTACTATAACTGGTTACTATAGTAACTCTCCTCTTTTCAGGAGTGTTTATTAGAACTGGTTACTAGGTTACTAGAACTGGTTACTATAGTAACTCTCCTCTTTTCAGGAGTGTTTAATAAAACTGGTTACTAGGTTACTAGAACTGGTTACTATAGTAACTCTCCTCTTTTCAGGAGTGTTTATTCTGCGTCCTCCCACCCCCGAGGAGGTATGCACTCAGGATGATATTCTATCTGGTGACAGTTTTGAAAGTGTCGAACTGCTGCCCAGAACAAAACCAGTAGGATACGATTACGGAATAAAAGAAATGCTCAGAACTCCCAAATTTTACATTCTTTACCTCATCATCCTCATCCTTTCTTTGGTGAGCACCGTTTTAACTTCATGATAAACATTTTCATCTTTATTTTTCTCTAATGTCTTTGACAAGCGTGAAATGGTATCCTTTCCCCAGCCATTAAGTCAAAAGTAAGTTACAACATTTACTTACAAAATATGTATTATTCAATGACACCGAATGAAGATTTTTAATTTGATTGGTATTTAGAAACAGTTTGATAATATTTCTTTCCTCAGACCTTGCTAACATCGACGGAGCTGTACAAGTTTATTGGAATAGAAGCAATAAACGACGACAAGTTTCTTAACCTTGTAGGAGCATTAGGTAAGTAGTAGGTAATAAGTACTAGTTACTATAGTAACTAGAACTGGTTACTATAGTAACTAGAGTACTAGTAGTAACTAGGTAAGTAGTAGGTAATAAGTACTAGTACTGGAGTAAAGTATACTCTTCTTGTGTTAAAATGCAATATAACAGCCTAGATATTAAATACCACAACCTATCTCTAATTCATCAGAACTTTACGATTACAAATGTCTACTTACGTCTGAATTTATCGATATTTTGCTTCTATATTTTGCGGCTACGCATAAATATATAGACAGTTTGGTAAAGCGTTGCTAACCAATTGTTGCAAACCAGCAAACTGTTTCTAACTGATTATTTGGCAGGAGCTGTATCAAACGCCTTTGGACGAGTAACTTGGGGTTTGATTCTTGACAGATTCGGAACTCGTGCTACATACACCGTTGCTTTCTGCATTCAGGTTTATTTGACAAATAATTAATAAAGAAAATTGATTTTAGCGAGGAATATTGTCTAACATAACATATCTGTTCAGGGATGAAAAGAGTAGAACACCAATGATGACAGTTTTTTAACACTAACTCACTAATGATGACAGTTTATTAACACTAACTCACTAATGATGACAGTTTATTAACACTAACTCACTAATGATGATAGTTTATTAACACTAACTCACTAATGATGACAGTTTATTAACACTAACTCACTAATGATGACAGTTTATTAACACTAACTCACTTATGATGACAGTATATTAACACTAACTCACTAATGATGACAGTTTATTAACACTAACTCACTAATGATGACAGTTTATTAACACTAACTCACTAATGATGACAGTTTATTAACACTAACTCACTAATGATGACAGTTTATTAACACTAACTCACTAATGATGACAGTTTATTAACACTTACTCACTAATGATGACAGTTTATTAACACTAACTCACTAATGATGACAGTTTATTAACACTAACTCACTAATGATGACAGTTTATTAACACTAACTCACTAATGATGACAGTTTATTAACATTAACTCACTAATGATGATAGTTTATTAACACTAACTCACTAATGATGACAGTTTATTAACACTAACTCACTAATGATGACAGTTTATTAACACTAACTCACTAATGATGACAGTTTATTAACACTAACTCACTAATGATGACAGTTTATTAACACTAACTCACTAATGATGACAGTTTATTAACACTAACTCACTAATGATGACAGTTTATTAACATTAACTCACTAATGATGATAGTTTATTAACACTAACTCACTAATGATGACAGTTTATTAACACTAACTCACTAATGATGACAGTTTATTAACACTAACTCACTAATGATGACAGTTTATTAACACTAACTCACTAATGATGACAGTTTAATAACACTAACTCACTAATGATGACAGTTTATTAACACTAACTCACTAATGATGACAGTTTATTAACACTAACTCACTAATGATGACAGTTTATTAACACTAACTCACTAATGATGACAGTTGATTAACACTAACTCACTGATGATGACAGTTTATTAACACTAACTCACTAATGATGACAGTTTATTAACACTAATTCACTAATGATGGCAGTTTGTTAACACTAACTCACTAATGATGATAGTTTATTAACACTTACTCACTAATGATGACAGTTTATTAACACTAACTCACTAATGATGACAGTTTATTAACACTAACTCACTAATGATGACAGTTTATTAACACTAACTCACTAATGATGACAGTTTATTAACATTAACTCACTAATAATGATAGTTTATTAACACTAACTCACTAATGATGACAGTTTATTAACACTAATGATGACAGTTTATTAACTATAACACTAACTCACTAATGATGACAGTTTATTAACACTAACTCACTAATGATGACAGTTTATTAACATTAACTAACTAATGATGATAGTTTATTAACACGAACTCACTAATGATGATAGTTTATTAACACTAACTCACTAATGATGATAGTTTATTAACACTTACTCACTAATGATGATAGTTTATTAACACTAACTCACTAATGATGACAGTTTATTAACTATAACACTAACTCACTAATGATGACAGTTTATTAACACTAACTCACTAATGATGACAGTTTATTAACACTAACTCACTAATGATGACAGTTTATTAACACTTACTCACTAATGATGACAGTTTATTGACACGAACTCACTAATGATGACAGTTTGTTAACACTTACTCACTAATGATGATAGTTTATTAACAATAACTCACTAATGATGACAGTTTATTAACACTAACTCACTAATGATGACAGTTTATTAACATTTACTCACTAATGATGACAGTTTATTAACACTAACTCACTAATGATGACACTTTATCAACACTTACTCACGAATGATGACAGTTTATTAACACTAACTCACTAATGATGACAGTTTATTAACACTAACTCACTATTGATGACAGTTTATTAACACTAATGATGACAGTTTATTAACTATAACACTAACTCACTAATGATGACAGTTTATTAAGACTAACTCACTAATGATGACAGTTTATTAACATTAACTAACTAATGATGATAGTTTATTAACACGAACTCACTAATGATGATAGTTTATTAACACTAACTCACTAATGATGATAGTTTATTAACACTTACTCACTTATGATGACAGTATATTAACACTAACTCACTAATGATGACAGTTTATTAACACTAACTCACTAATGATGATAGTTTATTAACACTAACTCACTAATGATGACAGTTTATTAACACTAACTCACTAATGATGACAGTTTATTAACACTAACTCACTAATGATGACAGTTTATTAACACTAACTCACTAATGATGACAGTTTATTAACACTAACTCACTTATGATGACAGTATATTAACACTAACTCACTAATGATGACAGTTTATTAACACTAACTCACTAATGATGACAGTTTATTAACACTAACTCACTAATGATGACAGTTTATTAACACTAACTCACTAATGATGACAGTTTATTAACACTAACTCACTAATGATGACAGTTTATTAACACTTACTCACTAATGATGACAGTTTATTAACACTAACTCACTAATGATGACAGTTTATTAACACTAACTCACTAATGATGACAGTTTATTAACACTAACTCACTAATGATGACAGTTTATTAACACTAACTCACTAATGATGACAGTTTATTAACACTAACTCACTAATGATGACAGTTTATTAACACTAACTCACTAATGATGACAGTTTATTAACACTAACTCACTAATGATGACAGTTTATTAACACTAACTCACTAATGATGACAGTTTATTAACATTAACTCACTAATGATGATAGTTTATTAACACTAACTCACTAATGATGACAGTTTATTAACACTAACTCACTAATGATGACAGTTTATTAACACTAACTCACTAATGATGACAGTTTATTAACACTAACTCACTAATGATGACAGTTTATTAACACTAACTCACTAATGATGACAGTTTATTAACACTAACTCACTAATGATGACAGTTTATTAACACTTACTCACTAATGATGACAGTTTATTAACACTAACTCACTAATGATGACAGTTTATTAACACTAACTCACTAATGATGACAGTTTATTAACACTAACTCACTAATGATGACAGTTTATTAACACTAACTCACTAATGATGACAGTTTATTAACACTTACTCACTAATGATGACAGTTTATTAACACTAACTCACTAATGATGACAGTTTATTAACACTAACTCACTAATGATGACAGTTTATTAACACTAACTCACTAATGATGACAGTTTATTAACACTAACTCACTAATGATGACAGTTTAATAACACTAACTCACTAATGATGACAGTTTATTAACACTAACTCACTAATGATGACAGTTTATTAACACTAACTCACTAATGATGACAGTTTATTAACACTAACTCACTAATGATGACAGTTGATTAACACTAACTCACTGATGATGACAGTTTATTAACACTAACTCACTAATGATGACAGTTTATTAACACTAATTCACTAATGATGGCAGTTTGTTAACACTAACTCACTAATGATGATAGTTTATTAACACTTACTCACTAATGATGACAGTTTATTAACACTAACTCACTAATGATGACAGTTTATTAACACTAACTCACTAATGATGACAGTTTATTAACACTAACTCACTAATGATGACAGTTTATTAACATTAACTCACTAATAATGATAGTTTATTAACACTAACTCACTAATGATGACAGTTTATTAACACTAATGATGACAGTTTATTAACTATAACACTAACTCACTAATGATGACAGTTTATTAACACTAACTCACTAATGATGACAGTTTATTAACATTAACTAACTAATGATGATAGTTTATTAACACGAACTCACTAATGATGATAGTTTATTAACACTAACTCACTAATGATGATAGTTTATTAACACTTACTCACTAATGATGATAGTTTATTAACACTAACTCACTAATGATGACAGTTTATTAACTATAACACTAACTCACTAATGATGACAGTTTATTAACACTAACTCACTAATGATGACAGTTTATTAACACTAACTCACTAATGATGACAGTTTATTAACACTTACTCACTAATGATGACAGTTTATTGACACGAACTCACTAATGATGACAGTTTGTTAACACTTACTCACTAATGATGATAGTTTATTAACACTAACTCACTAATGATGACAGTTTATTAACATTTACTCACTAATGATGACAGTTTATTAACACTAACTCACTAATGATGACAGTTTATTAACACTAACTCACTAATGATGACAGTTTATTAACACTAACTCACTAATGATGACAGTTTATTAACACTAACTCACTAATGATGACAGTTTATTAACACTAACTCACTAATGATGACAGTTTATTAACACTAACTCACTAATGATGACAGTTTATTAACATTTACTCACTAATGATGACAGTTTATTAACACTAACTCACTAATGATGACAGTTTATTAACACTAACTCACTAATGATGACAGTTTATTAACACTAACTCACTAATGATGACAGTTTATTAACACTAACTCACTAATGATGACAGTTTATTGACACGAACTCACTAATGATGACAGTTTGTTAACACTTACTCACTAATGATGATAGTTTATTAACACTAACTCACTAATGATGACAGTTTATTAACACTAACTCACTAATGATGACAGTTTATTAACATTAACTCACTAATGATGATAGTTTATTAACACTAACTCACTAATGATGACAGTTTATTAACACTAACTCACTAATGATGACAGTTTATTAACACTAACTCACTAATGATGACAGTTTATTAACACTAACTCACTAATGATGACAGTTTAATATCACTAACTCACTAATGATGACAGTTTATTAACACTAACTCACTAATGATGACAGTTTATTAACACTAACTCACTAATGATGACAGTTTATTAACACTAACTCACTAATGATGACAGTTGATTAACACTAACTCACTGATGATGACAGTTTATTAACACTAACTCACTAATGATGACAGTTTATTAACACTAACTCACTAATGATGACAGTTTAATAACACTAACTCACTAATGATGACAGTTTATTAACACTAACTCACTAATGATGACAGTTTATTAACACTAATTCACTAATGATGGCAGTTTGTTAACACTAACTCACTAATGATGACAGTTTATTAACACTAACTCACTAATGATGACAGTTTATTAACACTAACTCACTAATGATGACAGTTTATTAACATTAACTCACTAATAATGATAGTTTATTAACACTAACTCACTAATGATGACAGTTTATTAACATTAACTCACTAATGATGATAGTTTATTAACACTAACTCACTAATGATGACAGTTTATTAACACTAACTCACTAATGATGACAGTTTATTAACACTAGCTCACTAATGATGACAGTTTATTAACACTAACTCACTAATGATGACAGTTTATTAACACTAACTCACTAATGATGACAGTTTATTAACATTAACTCACTAATGATGATAGTTTATTAACACTAACTCACTAATGATGACAGTTTATTAACTATAACACTAACTCACTAATGATGACAGTTTATTAACACTAACTCACTAATGATGACAGTTTATTAACACTAACTCACTAATGATGACAGTTTATTAACACTTACTCACTAATGATGACAGTTTATTGACACGAACTCACTAATGATGACAGTTTGTTAACACTTACTCACTAATGATGATAGTTTATTAACAATAACTCACTAATGATGACAGTTTATTAACACTAACTCACTAATGATGACAGTTTATTAACATTTACTCACTAATGATGACAGTTTATTAACATTAACTCACTAATGATGATAGTTTATTAACACTAACTCACTAATGATGACAGTTTATTAACACTAACTCACTAATGATGACAGTTTATTAACACTAACTCACTAATGATGACAGTTTATTAACACTAACTCACTAATGATGACAGTTTATTAACATTTACTCACTAATGACGACAGTTTATTAACACTAACTCACTAATGATGACAGTATATTAACACTTACTCACTAATGATGACAGTTTATTAACACTAACTCACTAATGATGACAGTTTATTAACACTAACTCACTAATGATGACAGTTTATTAACACTTACTCACTAATGATGACAGTTGATTAACACTAACTCACTGATGATGACAGTTTATTAACACTAACTCACTAATGATGACAGTTTATTAACACTAACTCACTAATGATGACAGTTTATTAACACTAACTCACTAATGATGACAGTTTATTAACACTAACTCACTAATGAAAACAGTTTATTAACACTAACTCACTAATGATGACAGTTTATTAACATTAACTCACTAATGATGATAGTTTATTAACACTAACTCACTAATGATGACAGTTTATTAACACTAACTCACTAATGATGACAGTTTATTAACACTAACTCACTTATGATGACAGTATATTAACACTAACTCACTAATGATGACAGTTTATTAACAATAACTCACTAATGATGACAGTTTATTAACACTAACTCACTAATGATGACAGTTTATTAACACTAACTCACTAATGATGACAGTTTATTAACACTAACTCACTAATGATGACAGTTTATTAACACTAACTCACTAATGATGACAGTTGATTAACACTAACTCACTGATGATGACAGTTTATTAACTCTAACTCACTAATGATGACAGTTTATTAACACTAATTCACTAATGATGGCAGTTTATTAACATTAACTCACTAATGATGATAGTTTATTAACACTAACTCACTAATGATGACAGTTTATTAACACTAACTCACTAATGATGACAGTTGATTAACACTAACTCACTAATGATGACAGTTTATTAACACTAACTCACTAATGATGACAGTTTATTAACACTAACTCACTGATGATGACAGTTTATTAACACTAACTCACTAATGATGACATTTTATTAACACTAACTCACTAATGATGACATTTTATTAACACTAACTCACTAATGATGATAGTTTATCAACATTTACTCACTAATGATGACAGTTTATTAACAATAACTCACTAATGATGACAGTTTATTAACACTTACTCACTAATGATGACAGTTTATTAACACTAACTCACTAATGATGACAGTTTATTAACACTAACTCACTAATGATGATAGTTTATTAACACTAACTCACTAATGATGACAGTTTATTAACACTAACTCACTAATGATGACAGTTTATTAACACTTACTCACTAATGATGACAGTTTATTAACACTAACTCACTAATGATGACAGTTTATTAACACTAACTCACTAATGATGATAGTTTATTAACACTAACATCCCTCACTCAGGGTCCTCTGACGATAGCCCTTCACTACTCCAAGTGGAATAAGTGGGGATATCTAGCTAACATTTGTATAGTCTGCTTCTGCACGGGCATATTTACTTGCATTGCTCCAGCTTGTCAGGAGTTGTTTGGTAAGTTAAATTCTATCAATGAAACAAGAAATTTTCAATGAAACAGGATGGACCTAACTAACAGGATCTAAATTTCCGTTTATGTGTAGGGTCTCTACATCACTGTATCACAGGGACAAAAGGATTTCGCGATTATTTTGGCCAAAAATCGCGGTACCGCGAAATTTAACAAGCTATACATTAAACTATACATAAAATTTGTCGCGGAGAATGGGAAATTTCGCGATTTCGTACATGCCGCGAAATCCTTTTGTCCTTGCTGTATCAGGATATGATCCCCTGTGCTACACAGTAAAATAATATCATATAATTCAGGTTCCAGAGAATTATCCTTGAAGTACGCTCTAACGCTGAGTGCAGAAAGTATCGGCTGTATTCTGTTTTTCTTCTTACAGCTTGGTCAGGAGTATTTTTACGGGGAAGCAGCGTTCCTGACGATGATGGGTGCTCCATCAATCCTAGCTGCTATTTTAGCTTTCTTCTGCTTCAGATAGTTATCCTAGCTGCCATTTTAGCTTTCTTCTGCTTCAGATAGTGATACTTAGTTAATGCTATTTTAGCTTTCTATTTTTGCTTCAGATCCAGTTCTAGTTATTATAGTAACCAGTTACTAGTTACTATAGTAACCAGTTACTATAGTAAATAGTAACTGGTTACTTAGTAACCAGTTCTAGTGATCCTTAGTTAAATCTAGGCTGTACAAACTGACATTTTAATTTATTATATTTACGATTTTTGTACGATGAACTTTCTATTTTGATGACGGTTGCTTATTTCACGAATTCTTTCTGATTATTGTCTAATGTATAGGTTTTGTGTTACTAGTACTACTGAGTTACTTTTGCGTTACTACTGAGTTACTTTTGTGTTACTACTGATTTCTTTTGAGCCGTTTCTATGAACGGCAGTTTCGATCCAAATCGCCGTTGAGTGCAGTTTATTACCTTTTACATTATGTGAAGTGTGAATATAAATCCTGTTCTAGATCCCCAACGTCTTTTAAACATTCTATTTTCTTATTTAAAAATTGTCTCATTGTTTATTGTATCCCATGGCCATGAAAATCTGAAAAATAATTTTACTTAATTACTACTTATTTATAAAAAAGTATGTCACTAATTGAGTTGCTCGGTCTAAAGATTTAAATGCTGTAGAAAAGGCCTTTTCTTCATTAACAGTTGTCTCATTGTGAATTTTGCAAAACTATAAGTATAAAAATAATGTTACTCAATTACAACTTAGTTATCAAAAGAGGTCGGATCCATATGGTCTGGCTAAAGATTCGGAAAGGAAATATTTTTAAAATGCTATTGAAATGGTAATTACCACTTTATCAGAATCTGCAGAAAGCTGCTAGCTTACACACATAAAATAATGACGCATGGATTTCCGCTGTAATTAGATCTACTTATCGACATTTTTGTGCCTTTCAAACAATGAACTGCCCAACACCTGGCTTCGACGGAATAAGAGATAATCCTACATACACCTGGTAACCTGGTTACCTGGTAACCTGGTGACCAGGTAACCTGGTAACCTGGTAACCTGGTAACCTGGTAACCTGGTAACCTGGTAACCTGGTTACAATGAACTGCCCAACACCTGGCTTAGACGGAATAAGAGATAAATTTTAAATCATCCTACACGTGATGCCCATATAAGGAGCTATATAATCCTACATACATCTAGTACCAATAAACGGAGGAACATTCACCTAATTCAAATTAGACGACTGCTAAGATAAGAAACGCAGGGTTCCTTCGCAAAACTTGAACACGCAAACTTAATGACAATGAATCATTATTCTCGGTTTCTGTTAGGGTCGACGGGTCGTATTAATCGTTTTAAGTTTAACCATCTTCCTTACTTTTTGCTTTTTTAAAAACTTCTTAACCTTATTATAAGGTATAATACTGGTGATGAACGGATCTGCATCTTGAGATCCGTATATACTTATATATAATACGCTAAATTAGTGAATAATCTTCTCTCTAGCATACCAGAAATCTGATAAGGTCTGGCCTGGTGTTACCATGGTTAACTGGTTACCTGGCCTGGTGCGAACCAATCCGAGATCCAGCCTATTTATTTATCTAGATATGGAGCTGAATCCAGATGATTCCTCAATCCTCCCCATCCCATAATTCAGCTAGTCCGTTTAAAACGGTTTCGCGTTGGAGAGGACCATTAGTAACTTGTAGGGACCATTTGTTGTTGTTTAAATTGCTGAACGTTTTTTATTGCATGTTTAGTTTGAACGCAAACTTATAAAAATATCTTCTTCTGTTCTTCTTCGTAGGAAGCTGTGGTCGTGGTCAAAATGACCACGACCACAGCTTCCAGTTCTAGTTACCAGTTCTAGTAACCTAGTAACCAGTTCTAATAACCTAGTAACCAGTTCTAGTAACCTAGTAATAAGTTATAGTAACCTAGTAACCAGTTCTAGTAACCTAGTAACCAGTTCTAGTAACCTAGTAACCAGTTCTAGTAACCTAGTAACCAGTTCTAGTAACCTAGTAACCAGTTATACTTATAGTAACCTAGTAACCAGTTCTAGTAACCTAGTAACCAGTTATAGTAACCTAGTAACCAGTTCTAGTAACCTAGTAACCAGTTCTAGTAACCTAGTAACCATTTCTATGAACCTAGTAACCAGTTCTAGTAACCTAGTAACCAGTTTTAGTAACCTAGTAACAAGTTCTAGTAACCTAGTAACCAGTTTTAGTAACCTAATAACCAGTTCTAGTAACCTAGTAACAAGTTTTAGTAACCTAGTAACCAGTTCTAGTAACCTAGTAACCAGTTTTAGTAACCTAGTAACCAGTTCTAGTAACCTAGTAACCAGTTGTAGTAACCTAGTAACCAGTTCTAGTAACCTAGTAACTAGTTCTAGTAACCTAGTAACAAGTTCTAGTAACCTAGTAACCGTTTCTAGTAACCTAGTAACCAGTTCTAGTAACCTAGTAACCAGTTCTAGTAACCTAGTAACCAGTTCTAGTAACTAGTTCTAGTAACCTAGTAACAAGTTCTAGTAACCTAGTAACCAGTTCTAGTAACGTAGTAACTAGTTCTCGTAACCTAGTAACCAGTTACTTATTACTACAGGGGAGCCCTGTGTTAGTGTAAACTAATGAGTGTGGAAACTATTAGTTTCGTCGCGATTATATATAAATATCATCCATTGCACTGAAGGTTAGTGTTAATCATAGCTCGTTCAAAATACGGCCTGAGAAAAATGTTTATCCTGGTCAGTTTCCAGGATAACTCAGGTTATATAAAAGTATTGAAGCGTACGTACGGTAAAAGAGTTTCCATGGTTACCGTGGTAAATATGTAGTAACTTAATAAAGTCTGCTTATCATCTGTTTCTCTGAAAAATGGAAATGCCTGGTGGGAATACCGGAAAATAAAAGATAACATATTATTATATATTATGTTTATTATATATGCCTTATTCTCATCTGCCCACAATCTCGAATAGCAGGGTTGCAAAAAGTCACGGCGTGCAAGTTTAATACTTTCAAATCTAGTTTCCAAAAATTTAAAATCAGATGAGTTTTATGTTTGTGAAAATAAGAAGAGATTAAAATAAAAATAGCATTATGTTCCTCTTATGATGAAAATAGAAATATAGATGTATCTCATCATGAAGCCACCATTCGGTAACAACTCGTGACAACTAGTGACAACTCGTGACAACTAGTGACAACTCGTGACAACTAGTGACAACTACTGTCTGCCTCAAAACAGAAGATTTGCTTCCTCTACACTGATAATAACTTATTGTAGAGTCAACAGTAACTTGTTATCACTGGACGTGGTAGGAAAATCAGCGATAACAGAATTCCCTCGCAGAGAAACAGATAAGAATTGTATTTTAGAATAGCACCCACCAATGAACTGTCAACTACCGTTATCAGCGCTTTAAAAAGAGTTGTTCTTTGTGGAAAAGCCAACATTTCGTTATCGTCATGGCTCGTATCATGGCTGGTTCTCGTTCATATTTTGCTAGTTTTTACAACTGGTGGGTGCTAGCTTGTGTGTGTCTCGGGTCTACGGCTTTTGGCCTTCCTTTCTTCAGGTAACCCATCTCTTTTTAGTAATCTAGCCTACCTAAAGACTAAATGTCTTCAGGTAACCCATCTCTTTTTAGTAATATAGCCTACCAAAAGACTAGATGTCTATTTAATAATCGATGGCTTTTGGCCAACTTGGCAAGGGGCCTACCTTTGTCGATCTAGCCTATTAAATGTCCTGCAATTTATCAGCAGACTTTGAGGCTTAAATTGGTAAATTTTGGCACACTATACAGCCTTACAATTTTGATGTTTTGTTACTCGAACCTGTAGAATTAGAGCAGTTTGTTGCAAACAACCGATCTAATTTCTCCTGATCTAATCTCATTCGGATTTTGGCAAAGTTGAAGTTGAAATTGAATAACGTTTCTGAACGATTTACTCCAATCGTTTTTTATTTTGGTCAGTTTCATTAAGTTAAAATAATGTGTTGAGTTCACGAGATTTTATAATCTCCGTTTAGATAAATTTAACTTTAAATCAGTTTATTGATGAAACCCATTTTTATTGATAAAATTGATTTCTATCAATGAAATACATGATTTTACCGATAGAATACATTTTATCAGTACAATGCAATATACATGGTTGTAAAATTGATAAGAAACAGAACCATGCCCGCCTCTCGTTCGTGCTGTGCACGCCATTACAACTGGCTGGTAATGTCGTGTGTATGTGCTGGTTCTATGGCTTTTAGTGTTCCTTTTTTCAGGTAATCAGCATTCAGCACGGTTTGTATCATATTTAGATTAGTAGTATAACCATGGTAACTAGTAGCTAGTAACCATGGTAACTAGTAGTGTAAGGAGATAATAAACTTGTTACAATTGAAAGTGGAAGCAAAAGTGAAACATCTTTATAAAACGACCGACAAAAGAGCTGTAACTGTTTTTTAAAAGGGTCCTAAATGTTTAAAGCAAGATACAGATATAATTAATATTCTTATGACCACACTTCGGAGATATAGCAACTCCACGTTTCAGTTACGGAGCTCTCCTACCATATTTATCTTCTCTGTTTTACGCCACCACGGGTAAAGTCACCAGCCAGGCTGCCATGGCTCTTCAACCAGTTATTCTCCTCATGGGAATCACGCTGACAGGTAACTAGGTAACCAGGTAACCAGCCAGGCTGCCATGGTTCTTCAACCAGTTATTCTCCTCATGGGAATCACGCTGACAGGTAACTAGGTAACCAGGTAACCAGCCAGGCTGCCATGGCTCTTCAACCAGTTATTCTCCTCATGGGAATCACGCTGACAGGTAACTAGGTAACCAGGTAACCAGCCAGGCTGCCATGGCTCTTCAACCAGTTATTCTCCTCATGGGAATCACGCTGACAGGTAACTAGGTAACCAGGTAACCAGCCAGGCTGCCATGGCTCTTCAACCAGTTATTCTCCTCATGGGAATCACGCTGACAGGTAACTAGGTAACCAGGTAACCAGCCAGGCTGCCATGGCTCTTCAACCAGTTATTCTCCTCATGGGAATCACGCTGACAGGTAACTAGGTAACCAGGTAACCAGCCAGGCTGCCATGGCTCTTTAACCCGTTATTCTCCTCTTGGGAATCACGCTGACAGGTGGGCATTATTATCGCGGCAATTTTTATTTTCAGTATTCAATCATCAAAAATCAACAGTTGACATAACTGTCAAGTGTCACCAAAATGTAATTAGATCGAACGCAGAAATTAGATCGAACCGGTTCGATCTAGGAATTAGATCGAACGCGCGACGCGGCTTTCAATGTATTTGTATATGTATCTCGCGCCAGCGTTCGATCTAATTCCTAAATCAAACCGGTTCGATTTAATTTCTGCGTTCGATCTGATAACATTTTGGTGACAGTTACAACTGAAAAAAGGTTTTTTTAGTATTTTCCATTTTTAATATATTTTACGAAAATTTCCCTACATCCAGTTACGTATATCAACTCGTCGATGAAAAATCCAAACACAAGGAAATTTTTTACAGGTTCTTTATCCGGTATCCTGGAGTACTACATGAACGTGCGTCTTCTCAACTTCCTGCTGTCAGCTGGTTTTGTGCTTGTAGTCGGCTGCTCTTATTTCATCAGTAATTATACAGTTCTGACAATAGTGGCTGTTCTCATAGGAACACTAGGTGGACAGATTAATGTTTGCAACGTAAGTAACCATGGTAACTAAGTTTTATACAAATAAGCGCCACAAATCCAAATTATCGTTTTTGGTTATTTGTTATGTTTCCATTATAATTTGTTTATGCATCATTACTTCATTAAAGAATAAAACTTTCAGTTAATACAGTTTTTACTGTTGCCTCGAAATTTTGCACGGCCCAGATAATTTCTGTCACAACATTACCGAGTAACAGTGATATTACAGTAATAGTAACAGTGATACTGATACCGTAAAACCCCGATTTACCGCAAACCCCGATATACCGCGGCTTTTCTCTTTCTCCCAAACACCGCGGTAAATAACTTACCTCTAGGTTGCCCTAATTCCATTACTTGATATTACTTTTTAACCGGCTGGGTGGTGTTACCCTCGTATTTTGTATCTTGTTCTTCCCCCTAGGTTGCAAGGCTATCAGAATGGAATCCGAGGAAGAGTGGAGCTGCAAATGGTATTATGGGCTTCTTTATGGGGTTGTCTGGTCTGATTGGATCTGTTATGTGTTCTGCTGTGATAAACCCGTTAAACAGGGAGTAAGTCAGAAGTAGTTATTAAATGTTCAGCGATTTATCTAATTATATTTATTCAAGTTTCTGTTTAATGCTCAATCGATGTAAACAACATCCAGATTGTAACTGGTTACTAGGTTACTAGAACTGGTTACTATAGTAACCAGATTGTAAAGGCTTTCTTATAAGTTATAAAATGTGGTCAACAATCCTTTCTAAACATTTGGGTCATATCGTCAAGCACCCATGACCCTAGTACAGTAAAACCCCAATTTACCGCGGAGTTTGGGGAAAGGAGGCAGCTGCAGTAAATCGGGGATTTACTGTAAGTGTAGGTGTAACTCTACAATCATTTCTAACTAATGTCTCTACTAGGCCTGAGCTGGTGAACACTACCTCGGGGGAGGAGATGCTGTTTCTGGTTACTAGGTTACTAGAACTGGTTACTAGGTTACTAGAACTGGTACTATAGTAACTTACTAACTCTCCCTTTTCAGGCCTGAGCTGTCTGAACAATACCTCGGGAGAGGAGATGCTGTTTCTGGTTACTAGGTTACTAGAACTGGTTACTAGGTTACTAGAACTGGTTACTATAGTAACTTACTAACTCTACTCTTTTCAGGCCTGATCTGGTGAACACTACCTCGGGAGAGGAGATGCTGTTTCTGGACGACTACATTATCGAGCACACGCAGGACATCTGGCTGGCCTGGGCGGGCACTATTGCTATCATGTTCTTACCTGGTTAGTATATAGACTATAGAGGGAGTGTTACTATAGTAACTAGGTTTCTAGTTATAGAACTGTTAATAGGTTTTTCTGTTACTAAGCACATGACACGCAGGATATCTGGCTGGTCTGGCCGGGCACTAATCGCTATCATGTTCTTACCTGGTCGGTAACAATTGATTGTGTCTCCACATTATTTAGATTAAACCGTCAAGTCACATTGTAATAAACAAGCATTAAGAAGTCATTCAAAATTGACACAAGAAAGTCCAAAATTATTATATTACTAAATATCCTCTTTTCAGGAGTGTTTATTAGAACTGTTCTAGTTACTGGGGGGAGTGTAGACTGGTTACTATAGTAAATCTCATCTTTTTCAGGGAGTGTTTAAATAAAACTGTTACTAGGTTACTAGCACTGGTTACTATAGTAAACTCTCTCTTTCAGGAGTGTTTTATTAGAACTGTTACTGGTTACTAGAACCTGGTTACTATAGTAAACTCCCTCTTTTCCTGAGTGTTTATTAGAACTGGTTACTAATTACTATAACTGGTTACCTATAGTACCACTCCTCTTTTCAGGAGTGTTTATTAAACTGGTTACATAGGATATCTAAACTGGTTCTATAGTTAAATCTCCTCTTTTCAGGAGTGTTTAATGGAACTGGTTCTAGGTTACTAGAACTGTTACAATCGTAACTCTCCTCTTTTCAGAGTGTTTATTAGAAAACTAGGTTACTAAGATACTATAACTGGTTACTATAGTAACTCTCCTCTTTTCAGGAACATTGATACAGTGTTTAGTTCTGCGTCCTCCCCACCCCGAGGAGAATGCACTCAGGATGATATTCTATCTGGTGACAGTTTTTGAGAGTGTTTGAACTGACTGTCCCCAGAAACAAAACCATAGGATAACGAATACGGATCAAAGAAAATGCTCAGAACTCTCCCAATATTATACATTCTTTACCTTATCTCCTCATCCTTTCTATGGTAATGTGGAATTAATTGCGTGAAGGTAAATCGAGACTATATTATAGCTCATATATTAATTACAATCCCTTCTGTCTGTGTCTACTCTTTTGTGCTATTCATGGTAGGGGTATTTTACCTTCCACTTCAGACGTTGCTGACCTCAACCGAGCTCTATAAGTTTATCGGAATAGAAGCGATAAAAGACGACAAGTTTCTCAACCTTGTTGGAGCATTGGGTAAGAATTGCGGTTTGAATTTGCTAAAATTTACCACGTTTATAACTTTAACTCAATCTAGCAGGGATTGATTAAAATACTAAGAAACATATGATTGTATATTCTCTCACCACGATGAAGACATGTTTATAATTTACATGACAGCTGCTTGGATACCTGGTTACCTGGTTATCTGGTTACCTGTTACCTGGTTACCCTATTACCTATTCACTGGTTACCTGGTTACCTTTCCCTGGTTACCTTGTTACCTAGTTTACCTGGTTATCACTGTTACCTGGTTACCTAGCTGCCAGAGCGTCACTAACTGATTATTTGGCAGGAGCTGTTGCTAATGCCTTTGGACGAGTGACTTGGGGTTTAATTCTTGATAGATTCGGAACTCGTGCTACATACACAGTTGCTTTCTTCATACAGGTTTATTTTATCGATGGTAGATTATTGAACCATGTAAAAATATCTTTTTCGGTGAATCCATAATTAGTAATAAATTTTAGATGACAGTTCAATAACCCTAACCTTCACTCAGGGCCCTCTGACGATAGCCCTTCACTACTCAAAATGGGACAAGTGGGGTTATCTAGCTAACATTGTATAGTGAGTTTCTGTGCGGGTATCTTCACTTGCATTGCTCCAGCCTGCCAAGAATTGTTTGGTAAGTTTTCTATTTTTCCATCCACTATTTAAAAAAGTAAAGGATGGTTAAAAATCGAGGGCAGTGGCGTGGATGGGGGATTTGGGTCGTAGGTCGATTTGGACGAATGTTTGCACAGCCATGTTCGTATTTCATGTTGCATGCCAAGAATGTTTTGGTGGGTATTGATTAGCACAATATGAACGACTTTCAAGTGTTACCAACCAAAACAAGCTTCCCTGTTGTACACTGTACTGGTACAATAATATCATATAATTCAGGTTCCAGAGATATATCCTTGAAGTACGCTCTAACGCTGAGTGCAGAAAGTTTCGGCTGTGTTTTATTCTTCATCTTACAGCTTGGTCAGGAGTACTTGTACGGAGAAGCAGTCTTCCTGACGATGATGGGTGCTCCATCAATCCTAGCTGCTATTTTAGCTTTCTTCTGCTTCAGATAGTTATCCTAGCTGCTATTTTAGCTTTCTTCTGCTTCAGATGAAGCTGACTTCTCTTCAAGCGATTAGAGACTGTAAAAACAGACATTTGACATTATTAATTTATTGCATTTTCGTTATTATTGAATCATATGAGTCCGGCTCGTACGTTTGCGGTAAAAAACTGATTAATGTACATACCCATTACCCACCCCGATACTTGTAGGGTATAAATTCTAAATGTGCGAATATGATTCTTATTCAAAATCAGTACATTTGTAGTCTCTGGACTGTTTTTACAACTCAATTTGTTTTATTCAGTTGTAAATTTGATAAGGAAGTTAAAACTTTAAAATATTCGATATAAGTTGCAAGATTAAGTATCGAAGGACGCTAAAACAAAGACTAAAATTTCTTTGGTTAATTAAAAGTATACCATTTAAAACACAGAAAATCATGGAAGCATAATTGTGATCTGAACCCAAAAGTCTAAAAATATCAATTAAAGATTGGGATTTCTACTATTCTTACTAAACTAATATTCCCAACACAACTATCTACTAAATGCAGCTAATACCTTATCAGTCATAATTATCACGGACATTACTTTCACGCCGAATACCTTAGCGTGAATGTCTGTGGTATAGGTCCGTGAATAATAAAGTCCGGTAATTATTTCCATTAATTTTAGTGTGAGTAAAATGTAGATTTATGTGTGTAGCCGATTACTATATTAGCTTATTAGTATACTAGGAAAAATATATTCAATCCTCAGTCCTCAGTCACATTCCAGAGTTCAGAAAAAGAGTAAAACACTTAATAAAAATCACCAAAAATGTTCACAATGTTTTGGGCACTTTTGGGCGGTCATGAGCGTGAATAATTATGTCCGTGAAAAATTTAATCCGTGAAAAACTTGTCCGTGATATTAATTATGACCGATAAGGTATTACAACTATCTACTAAAGACTCCTATTGTTTTAACGTGAGCTAATAAACTAATATTCTCTACTTCTGAGTAACCAGGTAACCAGGTAACCAGGTAACCAGGTAACCAGGTAACAAGGTAACCAGGCAACAAGGTAACCAGGCAACAAGGTAACCAGGCAACAACGTAACCATGTAACAAGGTAACCAGGTAACCAGGTAACCAGATAACCAGGAAACCAGTTAACTAGGTAGCCAGGTAACCAGGTAACCAGGTAACCAAGTAACCAGGTAACCAGGTAACCAAGTAACCAAGTAACCAGGTAACCAGGTAACCAGGTAACCAGATAACCAGGAAACCAGTTAACCAGGTAACCAGGTAACCAGGTAACCATGAAACCAGGTAACCAGGAAACCAGGTAACCAGGTAACAAGGTAACCAGGTAACCAGGTAACCAGGTAACCAAGTAACCAGGTAACCATGAAACCAGGTAACCAAGTAACCAAGTAACCAAGTAACAGGGTAACCAGGTAACCAGGTAATCAGGTAACCAGGTAACCAGGAAACCAGGTAACCAGGTCACCAATTAACCAGGTAACCAGGTAACCAAGTAACCAAGTAACCAGGTAACCAGGAAACCAGGTAACCAGATAACCAGGAAACCAGGTAACCAGGTAACAAGGAAACCAGGTAACCAGGTTACCAGGTAACCAGGTCACCAGGTAACCAGTTAATCAGGTAGCCAGGTAACCAGGTAACCAGGTAACCAAGTAACCAAGTAACCAAGTAACCAGGTAACCGGGTAACCGGGTAACCAGGTAACCAGGTAACCAGGTAACCAGGTAACCAGGTAACCAGGTAACCAGGTAACCAGGTAACCAGGTAACCAGGTAACCAGGTAACCAGGTAACCAGGTAACCATGTAACCAGGTAACCAGGTAACCAGGTAACCAGGTAACTAGGATACCCGCTCTATAGACAGGAACTTGATCTCCAGACCTGGACCAGGTCCTACAAGACAAGCTGAGTCCTTCTCTGGCTGATTGAGCATGAGCTCCAGTACAAATATAAGAGTAGCGGATACCAGGTTACCCTTCTCTCTCATAACTTGCAGAGAGTGACGTATAGAGTGTTCTGTAAGAGGCGGACTTAGTCTTGTAAACGTATCCAGGATAGCTTTCCCTCCAGGATGTATCAGCCACTCCAACTCAGCTGGATCTGATGTGTTTGTCAGGCTCTTCAAAACACCTCCCCACTGTTCAGATATCCCCTTGTGGAGACTGGGTACTAGATCTTTAGAGAGGTTAAGATAGTAACCAGTCTCTTTTACTCGCATATTGATCAAGTTGCAGGTTTCCTTCTCCATCAGAATACAGTTAGGTTCGTTTATCTTCCAGGCACCACGTTCTTCCTGGTTAGTGACCAGCACGGCTGCAGCTCCGTCCCCGAACAGCAGGTTAGGTAGAATCCCCTCAATGTCCAGGTCCTGGTCAGTGTTCATGTGAGTGCTGGCACAGTCCACCGTGAGGATCAGGACGCAGTCAGCTCTGTTGGAGAGGACAGTAGATCTAGCAACATCTAGACACGTGATAGCACCTCCGCAACCCGTGTTATCTAGCGAGTAGTTACACCTGAGAGGGGGGGGGGGGGGGGGTGAGAGCATGAATGCACCTTCAGTTTAAAAACTTTGACAATTTCAACTGAGAATGATGTTCATTGTAGGAGTTAGTAACCATGGTAACACATTGTAGGAGTTAGTAACCATGGTAACACATTGTAGGAGTTAGTAACCATGGCAATGTTACAATCAGATACATTGCTAAAAACTAACTTGGTGTTGGTGAGTCCTAATTGTTGAGGTAACCAAGTGCTCAAATTAGGCAGCATCACTCCGCTGGATGTGTTTGTGATAACGCAGTCAATATCACTCAGACTGGTTTTAGTTTTGGCTATCAGTCCTTTTGCGGCTCTCAGTGCTAGCTCCTGGAAATGTTATTGATCAATAGTTAGGTAGCTTCTAGGAGAAATGTAGATTAAAAATATTTGAATAATCGTTTATTTAATCTAGCTGAGAAGGAGAAGCAGCAGGCTTACCTGGTTACCTGGTTACCTGGTTACCTGGTTACCTGGTTACCTGGTTACCTGGTTACCTGGTTACCTGGTTACCTGGTTACCTGGTTACATGGTTACCTGGTTACCTGGTTACATGGTAACCTGGTTACCTGGTTACATGGTTACATGGTTACCTGGTTACCTGGTTACCTGGTTACCTGGTTACCTGGTTGCCTGGTTGCCTGGTTGCCTGGTTGCCTGGTTACCTGGTTGCCTGGTTACCTGGTTACCTGGTTGCCTGGTTACCTGGTTGCCTGGTTACCTGGTTACCTGGTTACCTGGTTACCTGGTAACCTGGTTACCTGGTTACCTGGTAACCTGGTTACCTGGTTACCTGGTAACCTGGTTACCTGGTTACCTGGTAACCTGGTTACCTGGTTACCTGGTAACCTGGTTACCTGGTTACCTGGTAACCTGGTTACCTGGTTACCTGGTAACCTGGTTACCTGGTTACCTGGTAACCTGGTTACCTGGTTACCTGGTAACCTGGTTACCTGGTTACCTGGTAACCTGGTTACCTGGTTACCTGGTAACCTGGTTACCTGGTTACCTGGTAACCTGGTTACCTGGTTACCTGGTAACCTGGTTACCTGGTTACCTGGTTACCTGGTTACCTGGTTACCTGGTTACCTGGTTACCTGGTTACCTGGTTACCTGGTGACCTGGTTACTAACCTTCACTGCTGACTCCCAAATAATAGCCCTGTCCCCCATACTGGGATTAAAGGAAGCTCCTCTGAAGAGATTCTCGGGACTGGGTCTTTCTATCGTACACGGACATTTATCTTCGTCCAGATCCTCCCAAAACTGCTTAAAGTTAACACATGTAGGTCTCCCCTCCATATTCATTGAGAATATAATCTTCTTAATTTTCTGCAGTTTCTCTTGGTTGTAATTAAAGGATTCATGCTCGAAAAGTCTCAAGAGGTCCTCTTTGTTGATGAAGTTTTGTGGGTAAGCACTAAAAACTCCAGAGATAAACGCCATCTTCTGGTCAAGAATAGGAAAAACTATGTAGAAAGGTAGAAGTACTGTGTAACTATGTAAAAGTAATTCTTTCAGACTCAGTGAGGAAAGATTCTAATGGAAATAGATAGCTGAATAACTTATCGAAATTTCTACTGAGTCTATTCAGAAACAATCAGAAATTTGAATGAAAGAAACATCAAATCGTGAAACTCAATAATACTACACGAATCCACCAGATTATGTAGAAGTAAGAAAGTAATTGGTAGGTTTATACAAGTGAAACAACCAGATCATGCAGAAGTGGTAGGTGGGTACCAGGTAACCAGGTAACCAGGTGGATACAAATGAAACAACCGGTTAAAGTAATCAATGTCGATCGTGGAGAACCGAAATAGGTCAATATGCAATTACTAAAGATAATATAAGGTAACCAGGTAACCAGGTAACTAGGTAACCATGGTTACTAAAGATAATATAAGGTCAACTAAAAGGCCCTCTGGTGAGTAATAAAAGGAATGAATATTTTGATGAACACCACCTCCAGGTCAAGAATGGGAAATATGAAAAACTATTTAAAAGTAAAATGGAATGTTGAGCTTCTGCTTCAAATTGTGAAGCAGTTGTAAACACAAAGAGAGTAGCGGCTTACAATAAAATAAAGGCACAATGGTTTGTTTTCAAGTTTATACAGGTGTTGTGGAATTGTAACCAGTACGTGTCACAATAGGCTGGGCGCGGTAATTGTGATGCAACATTGTGATATTTTGCGTAACGACACTATAACTTTTGTATAGGAACTAGGTATGTGATACAAGGGTTAGGTCCTTTACTTAGTGACCGTGGTTACTAACCTTTACGTGGTTACGTGTTTAATAGCACTACTAGTAACTACAGTCCTATTACTAGCCCCTCCAATAATAAGCACTTCTTTAAGTGTAGATATTATTAAATGTTCCGCACCTCGCCTAGTAGCACTACTACTACAGTCCTATTACTATTATAGCCCCTCCAATAATAAGCACTTCTTTCAGCACGGCGAATGTTTTTACACAAATGTGAGAGAAAAGTAAAAGTTATCAGATAACATATAACAATTTGTTCACTTATTAAGTTATTATCATTCTATTGTTAACTGAGCATGATATGGTAGGTGTTTACCGGGATCTAGAGGACTAGTCAGGTACTTATTTAGACTTCTGATTCAAAGTGAAACGCGTTAAATTAGTTTCACTACTTAAAAGGTATAAAGTCAGCAAAGGTTTTTTAGAATATGGGAACTAAACTCAAGTTCATTCGTACCTTACAAATCGGATCAGACAGACATATTTACAATTGAAGCCACAGACGGCTATGGAGGTGTCATGTGATTCGTGTTTCTCAATTGTGATTGGTTGATGTTACGGTAGTGTTAGGACGGTGAAAGGTGGAGGTAGCTACTTAAGTGTAAGGGCCGCCTTTTAAGCCTTGGGTTATATATTAGAGAAATACTAAAGTGCTAAGTAACGTGATGGGCTATATATTAGAGAAATACTAAAGTGCTAAGTAACGTGATGGGCTATATGTTAGAGAAATACTAAAGTGCTAAGTAACGTGATGGGCTATATATTAGAGAAATACTAAAGTGCTAAGTAACGTGATGGGCTATATGTTAGAGGAATACTAAAGTGCTAAGTAACGTGATGGGCTATATGTTAGAGAAATACTAAAGTGCTAAGTAACGTGATGGGCTATATGTTAGAGAAATACTAAAGTGCTAAGTAACGTGATGGGCTATATGTTAGACTACTACTACTACTATGTCGGAGCTAAGTCCGATCTACGCCAGAAAACCCCCTCCATATATCCCTGTCCCGCATCAGGGTTCGCAGTTCCTCTTTAGAGTTTGTCCCAACTTCCTTCAGTAACATAGACAAGTAGCTTTGTCTTGGTCGGCCTTGCTGTGCTCTACCGTGCGTAGGTTCCCATAAGACTAAATCACTGGCAAGTAGCTCAGGATGTCGGATGCAGTGTCCCGCCATTTTTAATCTCCTGCTTCGTAACTTGTTTGACAGCCTTGGGAGGCTACCATACAAAGTTATATTGCTGACCTTGTCCTTCCATGAGATACCCAGCACCATACGCAACATCTTTGTGTATGTCCCGTCCAAACTTTTCTCTTGAGCCTTTGTCAGTGTCCAGGTTTCTGATCCGTAGAGCAGTACTGATTCACAAGCCGCTATGAACAATCTAATCTTTAGGCTCTTTGAGAGTTTGGATTTCCAGATATCCTTCAGTCTATGTAGGGCACCCCACGCTTTTCCCTTTCTAACCCTTATCTCCCTATCTGTGCTCTCAATCCAGGAGCCTAAGTAGATGAAATCATCTACATTTTCTATGGCTTCCCCGGATCGACTTTGTAGGTCGCTAGATCGATCCTCCATATTCAGTGTCATGACCTTGGTCTTGCCTTCGTTTATGTGTAGTCCCACGCTTGCTGCCGCCGATTCTACTCTGAGCAGGAACTCGTTAGCCTTGTCCATGTCCTCAGATATAAGTGCTATATCATCTGCAAAGTCCACATCGGTGATGATCTTGGGCCCCACTCTTCTGCTTTTTCTACGTTCGAGGGTGAGTCCAAGTCGCTCCGCATCATCGCCTATGGCTTGCCTCATACAGTAGTCGATGACTATTGCAAAGAGGTAAGGTGCTAAGGTATCACCCTGTAACACACCTGCAAGTATCTCGAACAATTCAGTTTCTCCGTCTGGAGTTAGGACTTTGGCCATTGTCTTCTCGTACATGAGCCGTATAAGCTGCACGATTTTGACTGGAATGCCGTAAGCTTCTAGAATCTTTAGCATTTTCCCACGATGTACACTGTCGAAAGCCTTCTTAAAGTCTATAAATGTCAGAACAGCTGGCAGTTTCCGACTCTTGACACCCTCTATAAGACGTCTCAGTACCAATATCTGTTGAGTTGTTGACCTTCCTGGTCTGAATCCATTCTGGTTTCTACGCAGAATTGTCTCGATTTCTGGCTTCAACCGGTTTAGAACCATCTTGTTTAGAGACTTGGCAACTAGGGATGACAAGCTTATTCCCCGATAGTTCATTGGTTCGCTAAGGTCGCCCTTCTTTGGAATTGGTATGATGTTGGCAGTTGACCATTGGTCTGGTTTCTCACCTTTCAATAGAGCATTGTTACAGAAGTCTAAGACAATTTGATCAAGGTCGCATCGTTTTAAGACTTCTGGGGCTATGTTGTCGTCACCCCATGCTTTCCCTTCCTTTATGCTGGACTTTGCTTTCCTGTACTCATCCAACGTAAACGGTTCTGTTCCGATATTCAGAGGTGGGTGGACTGGATCAATATCCTCTTCCGCGTTCTCTACCGTCGGTGGTGAGCCGAGAAGAGTAGCAAAATAGTCCTTCCATTTCTGAACCCTTTCCGTTGGTGAGTTTCCCTTGATTTTGCCAGTATATGATGGAGCTTTACCTGTGATCTTGTTGATCATGGTCCAGCTTTTAGCATGTCTGCCCTGCCAACTTGCTTCCTCCAGTTCCCGGACCTGCCCCTCCAGCAGGTGCTCTTTGGCTGCTTGATAAGCATCGCCTAGCTTCTGTTTGCCCTCTTGAACAGCTATTCGGTTGTCTTCTGTAGCATCTGAGTGGTATTTTATGCTACATTCCCTCAGCTTCAGCCTGGCAATTTCAACACTTGGAGTCGCTGAGATTTTACATCTTTTCTTTTTCTCCTTTTCAGGTAGTAAAAGTCGAGAAGTTGTCCTATTCGCATCAATAAAGCATTGGTACCTTTCTGTTGCCGTCTGATCATCCTTTTCAAGTATGGAAAAGCGGTTTTTAACTTCCACTGTGTACCTCTCTTGTAGAGCGATATCAGTTTTAAGTTTAGACCAGTCCAGAACCGGAGCCCTCTTCTCCGTCTTGCTTATCCGTAGACTAAGCTTTACCCTTGCTACGACTACTCTGTGATCCGAGCCAATACTGTGGAAACTACCATATGCTTCGGAGTTCTTGACGGAGTTCCGCCATTTCTTCCGGCAAATGATGAAGTCGATTTGAGATTTACTTTGACTCATATCTGAGAGATATGTCCAGAGTTTACCTCTTCGCTTCTGAAATCTGGTGTTTGTGATTTCTAGCTGTCGCTCCAACAGCATATCCTCTAGCAGTCTACCATTTCGGTTTGCTGGACCCTTGTGGAAGGATGTCCAGTTTCCTGATGATGAGACATGCGCATTGAGGTCTCCTACAACGAATAGTAAGTTGTGGGCTGGTATCTGGTCGATGGCACCACCAAGGCTGTCGTAGTAGTTTTCTGCTTCGTCGACAGTCGCCCCCTCTGTCGGGCTATAAGTCACAATAACAGTTGTGACCGGGTTCCCTGCAAAGTTGGCTACCATCGTCCTCCTGTCATGTGAGTATACACTAATCAATGAGTTGAATACTGTCTTTTTGTCCAAGACAATACCAACCCCACCAGCAGCCGCCCCATTGCTGGTTCTCCATGCCGAAGTTGTTATGAGGTGAGAGCTTCCAAGATCTTGATACTCGATTTCAGTGCTATGTACTACCCGATGCTCCTGAATGCCCAAAATATGTACGCCACTATCCCTCATGCATACACCCAGCTCATCCCTCTTGTATTGTTCTCTTATTGTTCGTACATTAAGAGTTCCTACAAGAATTTCCTTCTGGCCACGTAGTAGTAGGGTACCAGCCTTTGAAAGAGTTGGAGCAGGAGATTTGGGTGTGACCCGCCGGTCGAGAGATTAAGGTGTGTGCCCGAGGTAAATACCCCACACACCATGTGTTGAGTCTACGGCGGCGCCCGGCCAATAGGCAGGTCACAAATTGTTTTGCCAGACTTGTATAACCGCATCATAGTACTCAAGCGAACAACCATCCCCCTGTTCGCTAGGGCCGTTACTGCAGAAAGCCTCACGTCTAGAACAATTGATCATTTGTCGCTCCTGATCCTAGAGCATCCTTGTCTCGTTACTTGTCACATGCACTTTTTCTAAAGAGGAACTGTATAGTGATATACAGAAAGAAAATCTGTAGTAGATTTTCAAAGGCGACTGATAATATTGCGGACGCCACACCAGCAATATGACAACCATACCATAATCCAACATTCCCATGCACCTTTATAGTTTAGAGTGCTTAGCACTATCCCAACTGCCAATATATTGCCAAAACGTTTTTGCCCAACAGAAATGCCAACTATAGTTATAGTGTTATACACTGTGCCTCAAATAATTTGATCAAAGCCGAGGATATGTGGGATGGTGCAGTAGGACGGTAGAATGCAAGTGTGGAAGTGAGGATGTGGGATGATAGGCCGGTATATGTAGTGTAGTGCTGACACCTAACTAGGACTGAGTGCAGTAGGACGGTAGAATGCAAGTGTGGAAGTGAGGATGTGGGATGATAGGCCGGTATATGTAGTGTAGTGCTGACACCTAACTAGGACTGAGTGCAGTAGGACGGTAGAATGCAAGTGTGGAAGTTAGAGAAATACTAAAGTGCTAAGTAACGTGATGGGCTATATGTTAGAGAAATACTAAAGTGCTAAGTAACGTGATGG